ATCATTATATATTCGATTTCTAATATTATATCTATGATTGGTGGTCTTATATTTTCATTGATTTTAGCATGGATTCTATCAAAAACTCAACCTGTTTCATGGTATGGTAATTCGACATTAGCCATATTTCTTTTTAGTTTACCATGTTTAATTGGTTTTATTATTTTTCAATATTTATTCGATCTATTACATCGTCGTATTCTTCGAAAATCTTCTCAAAACTCAAATGAAATTCATTTCAATTTTGAACAAAATATTTCCATTCTCATCGTTTATAGTTTATCAATGGTTATTTCAATTTATTCTAATTCAGAATTCTTTTATATAACTCTTATTTGGTCAATATTTATTTGTCCATTATATCTTGCTCTTATTGTTATTGAATTTATTCTTCATTGGAAACAAATCTTTGAAAAAAACTTTTATCAATTATATTTACCATTGTTAATATCATTTTTTCCGTTGATACATACAATTGAAATAGTCAATCGAATACTTCGTATTTTTATTCCAATATTAACACCATTATTTTCATATAGATGGATATATCGTGGAAATTTAATTATTTTTAGTACTGTTGTTATTCCCACGTTATTTTTTCTTCCAATATTGCAACGAACAAAACAATTCTTTCGTTTATTAAGTATTCTTTTAATTAGTTTTTTTATTGTCATTATTGTTGCTTGTATTCGACAACAATTTACGAAAAATCATCCAAGTACTTTTTATGCTAAACATATATCGAAATCAATTTATAATGCAGAAACTTCAATGAATAATTCATTTAATATTTCACTTCTATCACAACAATCATCAATTACAGTTAATACATATCATGGTCTTGTTTTATCACCTATACTTGATCAATTTTCAATTAAAAGTGCTCATAAATTATATAATAAAACATGTTTTAGCTCAACAAATTGTACATTTGATGATAGTTTTAATCGTCAATTAGCTGTTGAACATATTCAAATCGAATCGATGAAAAAGAAATATAGAATTCGAATTCAACATGTATTATCTTATAATATTCGAATTTCATCATTATCGAATATTAAATTAACTGTTCAAAATCAATTCGATATTCCAAGAAAAGAAACAATTGTTGATATTATCCTAAATTCAACATTATCGATAATTGAAGTTGATATCAAAATACAACGATGTGATGTAAATGATTCACCATTTTTATTATTATTTACTCGTTTAATGTCAAATATTGTACTTAAGGGTAAAGGATTCTGTCAAGCCATTGATGATGATACTACACTGATTATTAATCGATAGAAATATTTTATTGATTAATTAGTTGTACTATTAAATGAATTCAAAATTCTTTTTTTAGACAGTTTCTTTGAAGATGATTGGATAATTTGTTGCATGGCAAATATATCATAACGAGAGAAATCTAGTAGAAAAGTAGAAGTTTATCTTAAAATTTAAAAAAGATACACAAAGAGAGAGAGTGAATGTACTTGCGGTTTGTTTCTATGAATATATGAGATACATTTTAGAATCTTTATCTATTTTATGAATACTTTTAGAGAAAATAATGCTAGTTCTTTGTTGAATTAGTAAAATCAGGTAATAAAAATAACTGGTGAAAACCAATTTTATCATAATGACATGGTGTACTTTCATGTAACTTCAAAATTTTAGGCATCATAAGCATCATGGTTGACTCTAGTCATGTGAAGTAATCATAGATTAGTCATTCAATCTTCTTTCTAACTCTCGGTCCTAAATCTTGTGGCTTTTTTAAGCCATCTTCAGGGTGTATGCTCAATATATGTATTATTCAAACGTTCACCAATACTCATACATTTGAAGTTGCGAATGTCAATATTTTTATACTAGTCGATTACAATTTTTATTGGAAATAATCATATTCTGTTTCTAAAACTTTTTCTTCCAGTAATTCAGATTGTTACACAAATAAAACAAAAATGAAAATATATTATGCATACACAAATCTTGAGAGCACGTTTTTCGTTCTTTCTTCTTATTAGTTTCTAAAATAATACGTGACGCACATGAAAAATACTTTTTACAGTTTCGATCACAAAAAAAATCTATTACTCTCCATCTAATTATGGATGTATTTATTTACACCTTCTTTCTTATACTTTTCCAGCAACAAAATTCTTCTTGCTTGTGATTCGTTTTTTTTCGTCTAAATAATAAGTTTATAATGAAGTAGATGAAATATCTATATATTAATAAAAGTTTCATATTAAGCAATTGATTTATTAAGTTTAAAATATCAGTATCGCAATAAGTGTTTATTAAATATTGTAAACGTGCTAAAGATGAGGGATAAAAAGAAAAAAAACATGGAATATGTTATTGTAACAATAATTCTAACGACAATCTATGTCTTGCAATTATATATGAACAATGTATGATAAGGATGCATTCTTCTATTAATTTGATGACATTCAAACTTTGCTGAGCTACTTCTTATAAAGAGTAAAAGAGCTGCTGCATACGATTGCGGGTGTGGGCCATATATTCAAGACACCCACACCCACAACGTTCAAACAAAATAATTAATCAATTCGAATTAATTAAAGAAAAATGCAACTTCGATATTTCATTCTTGAGGATAAGGGTGATGGAATGGGTGTGGACGAGTCTACGCTACGCCCACTCACGCCCTTGTAGTTTACGGTTAAAGTTTTGATTAATATCGATCACAGCGCTTAGACGATACAAGAAAATAATATACCACTTTTTCTATGTTGTGTTCGATGGTCTCGCATCCACATAAAAAAATACATCTTACAGACACGTGCGCAATGATTTCATTCTGTGATGTAAAAGTTTTATATTATTGTTTTCATAACAGAACAACTTTCGATGCTGACACTCTTGATGGCGACGTTTGATCGTAGTCGAAACCTTGAAATCTGTCGTTTGATTATTGTAAAATCAATACTGCGTGAGCACGAAACATTGGAGCTTCAGTCTTACCGTTCTCTTATCGATTTTATTGAAATTTTCAATGATCCAGATGCTTGTCTTGATCATATCAAAGACATCGTGGACGAACATATTTTTCTTATCATTGACGCTGACTTTTATGAGCAGATTGCATCAAAATGTCATCAACTACGTCAAATTTACAAAGTATATATTTTCAACAGAATAATTGATACATTGGAAGGAATGACAACAGAGAGGTAAGCTATACTATAACCCATCCGAGGGACATCACATATCCAGGAAATCGGGATGCTAGATATGCAGCGACAGATGCGGGAGATGCACTACTGTATATAGAAACTATTTGGTCAGTATTTTACTGTTGCATCTTCCGTAGAGATAACCTATCTCTCAGTGCATCTCACGTCATTTTTTGAAACAACTCTTATCGTGTGAGCGTAGCTAAATAAAGATAAATATCTATATCCACAACCCATAGCCTACACCCACACCCATTCCGTTGCATGTCCAGCATCGCATATTTTCTGGATATATGACACTGCTGTATCGGTCGGCAGTTGGACTTTAGCCAAGATGAAGACAGTTATAACAGAGGATTGATTCCAATCAAATGGAGTAAACGAATGGTAATCGCCCAGATTGTTCTAAAAACTGTTTAGGTCGACGAATAAACAATCGACAACATCAGTAATAACATCACTAACAACTACAGCTGCTTACTCAAAAAAAGTGAGTAAAATTGAACTTTGTCAGACTAATTATCTTATTGGAGCGCGAAACAGCAGTATGATCAAATAAAAGTTGTACCACTATTTTTTTATCCAAATTGTTTTCAATTTTTAAAGAGTGACAAGCGTGCTGCTTATCATGGAGTACATCTTCAACACTTCTTATTGCGCATTATGTACATCATGGTTTGCTTTTGTTTTTAGCTAGTGGGACTCTACTCAAACTTAGATGAATTACGAAACGATTTATCCAGCCAAATACGATCGGCTGTTCGAAATATTGCTATAATTCCCCAAATTCTTGAGCAACAACCTCAAAGAAATGGATTGACATTTAACAAACTGATAAAATCTTATTGTACTGCGTTTCCACATTTCATCCACGTCTTACTAGAGAAGACGCCGAATGAGAATGGAAAAAGAATGCTGGCCGAAAAATGTCGTTTGTATTATTCCGGTAATTCATCGACACTGAATATGATCGATGAATTTGAGCAAAACTATCATCGTGAAAATGCTGTCTGGTGGTATACACGTAATACTTTTCTTTATTTATTAGTTAACAAGTCTTTACGCCAGCATGATCTCGAATTAATTATCTACTTACACTTTTTTCTTTTTGACTTACATCATCAGTTAGCTAAAACTTCACAAGGCATCAGTCCAAGAACTGACGTTGAAAAATATTTTCGTGGACAAATTATCACGCTAAGAGAAATGCAGGCATTAAAAGAAGTTGGTTGCATGTACGGTTCGGTGACATTGAATACTTTCGTATCCACGACGAAAGACTATTCGATGGCATTGTTATTTGCCGGAAGTGGCTCTTATGAAAAAGACGATGAACTACAGTCTGTAGTAATCACCATTGAATTGCTACCTAGTCACTCCAATTCAATGGAGAAAGAGTATGCTGATATTTCTCGCATCAGTGCCTGCCCGTCAGAAGAGGAGACATTGTTTACTATCACTTCATTATTATATCTCGTTAGCTTTGAATATAACGAAAACGCCAAAACGTGGTTTGTTACTCTGAGTAATTGGGGTACAAGCGATTGCTTTAGTTATGGTCGTCACACCAATCATACGCAACAGGAACAGTATAATTCGATCGATGTCAAATTCGTTCATGTTGGACGTCTTCTATCAGAAAAGACACTGGAATACGATCTCATGAACTTTTATAGCGACGAACATAGAAACGATCTACCTGTAACCGAAGAGTCCTTCAATACTGTTAAAACGATATACTATGATAGATTACTACAAAACTTGGTTATTGAACAGTTTGTTTATGACGTTGGAGTAGGATCATTAGCCTTCATGAGTGGACAAATCGATGTTGCTGCAAAACATTTATTCAAAGCACAAACACATGAAAATCAAATACATCGTGTCGATAGTGATGGGATACTTCTTCTGCTATATGATACCCTCGGACATATTCATAGAGAAAAAGGCGAATATGATTTAGCGTTACTGTCTTATAAAGTAAGCATCGAGATTGATCCAACATCACAACGTCTTGATGATCTAGCCTGTATATACAAAATACTCGGCGTTTACGACAATGCATTGAATTTATCATCATCGTTCATACGTCTCGCGAGAGCTTACAATAAACGTCAGGATGCAATGGCTAACATGAAAGAATGGAAAGCGTTTGTTGATTACGTAACGGAGAAGAAGAATTATCTATCGAAGTACAATGTTCAAGTGACCAAAGAATACCTAGAAATAGGAAAAAGATACGCAGGACTATCATCCGATGTGTACTTATTTAACAATGGGAATTATACTTTGAAAGGATATGAAATGCCTAGCTTTCCTAACGATATTTCAGTCGATCGAGCGAGTGTGCAAACTGCGATCGAATGTTTTCAACACGCTATCGACATTTGCCATCAGCATGTTTTCGATAGCAATTCACGAAACATCACTACAGCAAATCAATACCTATCACTAGCCGAGATCAAACTGTCGAAACTGACTGTCGAAAAAGACTAAGAACATTTTTTGTCAGTTAAAATTCATCACGAACAATTGATAACTATTTCGTTTGTGGATGGAACAGTTCTCCTATTGAATGTGCGATGTAAACAGCCACTCCTTTTCGAGTTATCTACGGTAACGGCAACATTTTGGCGGAGTTTTTCTCTCTTTCAATATGATATCAGACCTATCACGCTTGTACTAAATTTCAGAGCAGGAGATTTTTACGTCCTTTGTTGTTGCCAGGCCCGCTTCTCTATATTATTTTGAGGGTGTGGGTGTGAATCTGGATGTGGATGTGTGCGAATAGAGAAGGCGCACCCACTCTCAGGCTTAATGATTGATGATGTTGTTATTAGTTTATTGTCATTTAAATGTATTGTATCATTGATTATCAATAGTTTTATATCATCGTAATCATAGTTCAAATCTCACAATCCATTGAAAAATAATCATTGAGAATAACGGTATAGAACACATTCCGCTGTTTCTGGAACGCTTTTCTTTAAAAAAAGCGGCATTTATTTTTCTGGAATGCGTTCCCGATAATTATCATCTACGCCCACATTCCCTACAATAGTCCTGAAAGAGAAGTAGGTACAAGATTCGCCGAGAGACCTCTTCCAAGGCAGCTTTACGAGCTCTGTCTAATGACATGCTCATATTTTTCATAGCTTAAACTATAGAAATTATAACATGAAATATATTTTTGAAAATTGAGTTTGTCAGCTGGGAAGTACAATCTATCGAATATCCATCCATTTTTTATGTTGATTTTAATCTATCGTGCTGCAGCGCAGGCAGTTTTGAACCAAAACTGACGTTAAATTTATACGAAAGTGTCCCACAATTTAGAGAACGGCGACCGATCCATTCTACTCTTGCCAGGAATGATCACAGGTTGTTGGGAATGCGTTCATCGGTTTAGAGAATTCGTTCTCTAGATGTCCCTGTCTTAAACGTCAAAGAATGTGATCTTATTTTGATAAAATGCTATCTGACCGTTCCAAAACAGAACGATCGACGATGATTTTACTAGTTTATATAATAGTTTAGAACGCTTTCTATACAGGTGTAGAACAGTTTTGAACCAGGAAGAAAGCATTCTGTAATAATATAGAACGACAAAAGATAGGTTCTTCTAAGCTTAGAAAGATTCTTTTCATTGACGAATGCATTCACTAAACTATAGAACGTTTTCTACAAATAAGAGACAAGTTTCCGTATTTTCATGAATGCGTTTACTTCCGTTATTTTTCATAGATATTTTTCACCGAGGAACTATTTAGGAGTGTGCGCAGTAATTAATAGTTTTGGACGAAGCATACGAAACTTCTAGCTTTAAATCGGAACCGTTCAACGTTTCGCCTGAGGTACACGGAACCTTGAGAGAATTAAGTTAACTATGAATGGTTTAGTACATAATATACGAAACCAACAACCGGGTGGGTGTGGGTGTAGATCAATAAGAGGCATCAACACCCTCACCCACACCCTCACTCACACACACCCATCCAAAGTTCATCGTCTTAAAAATTTGTTTTTCGATGTTAGAAAACAGACTGTTTGAATGGTTCATCGATGAAGTTTAACAAGATCGTCGATCTTGAGGGTGTGGGTGTGGGCCATATACTCAAGACACCCACACCCACATCCTCACTCACATTCACACGCGCATTCAGATCTTCACCCACACCCAGATCCACACTCATACCTTCACCCTCACCCACGCTCTCACTCATAATCTCACCCCTCACCCGCACTCATACCCGACGATAATCGATTTGGTGAAGTTCATTTTCGGCGAATTTCTGTTGGCGAAGGTAAACTAAATTATTTTATCATTTCGATTCGTGCCGCATCATAAAATAAAAATCCTATGTTACATCTTTTTTAAGAATTGCGTCGCAGTTGCGCGCATTGGCTTCGTCGTGACACAATTAAGCGTAACTGCGCCGCAGTTATAGCAGTCAGAATCACATAAATAGTACCACACTTACTACGCTGCAGTTATAGCAGTCAGAGTCACATAAATAATACTGCGGATATGGGTATGGGTGGATGTGGGTGTAGGTGTGGGTGAATGGGTGTGGGTGAATGGGTGTGGGTGTAAATGTGTCATAATATGATAACTATATCCACACCCACACCTCGGACGATCTCAAAATACGATTACGCGAGAACGCGATTATTTCGCCGCAAATGCGGCGCAGCTCAGCTCATTTTCCCACAATTGTGCGCAATTGTGATTTTTTTTATTGTAGTTGCGTCGCAACTTCGAGCTTTATAATTTTCTGTTTACCCAAAGCCTTTCATCAAAAGTAACTGCCAGAATCAATGTTTTTGCTTCATTAGAAACGAAGTAGCAATGGTTTGTTTCTTCTCCTTTTCTTTTCTCTTTTCATCCTTTGAATATATAATTAAGTAAAGTTACGATTTTTAAATGATTTTTTTCTCTTCATAGACACACTTGCAATTTCAGTCGATGACTGTACATACTAAAAGAAGGTGCATTTTATGATTTTTCTAGAGAAACAAGAAAAGAATTCTTTTAATTTGTAACTATAAAAACGGTCGCCTCTCATTCGATTATTTCACAACGCTTATATAACAAACGTAACGAAAAGTAATACAAGAAGAATATTTTTTATTTAATATTTCATACTATTGTATCTCACAATGGCGAAAATTTTGAGTTCAAGCTTTATATTTTTATTCTGTATGTTACTTTTAGTGTAAGTATTAATTATCAAGTTTTATATGCTATATACGTTTTTTTATCTTCTCCAATGATAGAAACACATCAGAACAACAACAGCTAAGTAATTACTAATAATGACTGTTATTTTTTCCTATATTCTTATTATTTATTTCTTAGTTAACTCAACTACAACAGCAACATGTAATTTTACTGCATGCAATTCTCAACGAATATCATGTTCATCGAATCTTAACTGCGATTGTTTTTCATTAACATCCAATTCGAATATAGGAATATGTACTTTAGCTACTCTCTCCTGTGAAAGTTTTGTACGGTGTAATATGGATAATATAACTTGTTCAATCGAAAGTACAATCTGTGTGAATAGTACACGATGTGGTCAACCAGTATGCTACCCATTACCACTGGCAAACAAACAAATTTGTCCACCAAAGACTATTTCAAGTAAAAATGATTTCTAACAACTAGTTTAATTTTGTTTTTTTTCTCAAAACAGCTACAACATTACGAACAACAACTACAGGTAAGGTATTTTATCTCACAAATGTGAAAACGATTAGAACAAAACGAATTAGTTAATGATCTAGAATAAATTATTTCAATTTTTAAATAGCACATACAACAAGTACAACTAAATCTACAACAAAGAGTAAGCGTGATTTCATTATATTTTCTTTTTAAAATATATTTTCTGGTTAACTTTTTTTTTGAATCAGGTACAACAACAACTCAGAAGACAACGACTACCACTAAAAGATTGACGACAATAACTACTCAAAAGCCTACGACTACCACTGAAGCAGCGACTACTCAAAAGCCTACGACTACCATTAAAATATCGACAACAATACCAACATCAACAGGTAAAACATACAGTATTATTGCCACTGACTCTAATTCATAGCTTTATTTCTTTCGCTTTTCAGTTCATTTCGACACTACAACTAATCAATCTGGTACAGCCACTAGTAAGTAATCAACAAGTAATATATCTGAACTAGCTTTGTAAAGATTTCAAATTAAATTCTATCTGTGATTTTTTTCTCGATTGAAATGTGTAGCAACAGCAATAAGATAGACTACTACTTTTAGAAGGGATCCTTATTCATATCTATCCTATTCTTCTAAATTTATAGTGAGTTCTGTTTCGTGTGAAAATAAATCCTATGCAATAAGATTTATTACATGCATAATAAATTTAGATCTACAGTAAAACCTCCCAAAATGAACACCTCTCTATAATGAACACCTCTGGTTTGAACACATTTTTTGGTCCCCCCGATCGATTTTTGCTGTAAATAGACCTCCGCAAGATGAACACCTCCGACCTCTGAACAATGAACGCTTTTTTTAGTCCCTTCTGTAAAAGAAAACCTCTATATAATGAACATATAGTGATTAACTGTACGTTTTTCTATGAAACACAGAGCTGAAAAAATATGCTGTTCATATTAAGGAAATGATAAATCAGTTTTTGACGGTCAACTCATCATAACAAGCTCTGTCGTATGTATGGATCAAACAAAACAATGTGATTAATCGGCGATGAGTTAATCGATTCTGTATGATAGGACAACATGCATTCTATCTTCGATTGTAAAATGAAACAGAACACACACGTTAACTTTGTCTATAAAAATGCAGTTAATTAGTGAAAATGAAAATAACGCTTCATATCGTACAATTACTGCGAAGTACAAAATCTCGATCGGTAGTATCTCAATTACCGACTTTTCTTAGAAAATATAAATAGATGTGAATAATAGACAAAAATGCTTTCTTTTACTAGTTTTTATTTAAAACAAAATAGATCTTTAATATTTTAAAGATAAACAAAATGTTTTTTTTTTCTTTTTCACTTGATAATTAAATAAATATGTGAAATAATTGAAAAAGATAGTGTTTTGGAATTAATAGTAATAGATTTTAATATCAAGATGCATAGCTATCATTTGTCCATACTAATATTATATGGTGTATATCTAAACCTTTATTTAATATGAAACCTCTGTAAGATGAACACCTCCTCTAATGAACACTTTTCAAGCGGTCCCATTAGTGTTCATCTTAGGGAGGTTTTACTGTATATGGATCCTCGTTCGTAAATTTTTCAAACAATTTTCTCTATAAACTTCATAGTTTTTGCTATTATTAGTTATTTGTTGAATAAAGGATATTATGAAACATGAACTAAAATGAGGTTGCAATGTTTGGCAGCAGAAATTTGCACTCGCTATCTTTCACAGACGTGACCGACAGAGTGTCATAGACATCACTATTGAACTCATACTGTTTATGAAAGATAGATACATTGGTAACTTCTTTTATATTACGCTATTTTTTCTTGAATTTTGTAATAACTGTTAAAATGTTCATCAAGGGAGTTCATAATATTCGATTATTTCTATCTGGTATTCCCATTATCTTCTTGAGGGTAGAAACAACAATTAGGGCATTTTTCACGGCTTAATCTCGTCAGGGAGTGCTGTAACAGCCTTTTCTGTTGCTGCTATTCTTCTAATAATAATGATTTATAGTTATATTCTGAGTAGCTTAAGAAACTTTATGGGCCATTAATGTTATACACGTATTGCAAAATAGATAAATAATCTTAGATAAAATTTAGAAACAGAGTATATGTGAAGATGAATCACTTTCAATAGAGAATCTAAAATTAATGTTCAGTGATTAGCAATTATCATTTACCTTGTCTTGATTGATGAAATGATCGAGTGAATTATATAATTAGATATTAAGTACTGTCTTCATCTTTAGATTAATCTTTATTTCATGTTTGAAATATTTGTATAGGTTTGTCTTTTCTCTGACAGCATTTTTTACATAAAAAGATATGTGAATAAGAAACTGACGAAAAATTATTTTTATGTTGGTAAATTTAAGTAGAGCATTTGATTAGATATGAAATATAATTGAGAATAAAACCAAAATAAACTAAATAGGTGAATTTGTGTAAATTAATGGAGAACTAACAATTATTTGATAGTGAATTGTAAAAAACTTCCAGATTAATCACTCATTTTTCCATTAGTTCATGTTTCGTATCAATTCCAGTGATGAATGCTATACAGTTCTTTTATCACTTAAATATACAGAGATGATTGAAAAAAAAATATCGTGCGCAATTCGTTAATTTGATTGTCATATTCAGAGAACTATGAAAGACTTCATGAGAAGTTCACAATATTCATTCTATTAAATATCTTTCACGTATTGTTTGTAAAATTAACAGAACATCGAAAATCTCATCAGTCAGTGTAATTATCATCGTCGTCAATTTGAGACAAACACCAATGTAATAATGTTGAGTATCTGTTTGTGTGTTACCGGGTCAATGGTTCAAAAAAATAAATCAGGCTCTTTATAGTTTGAGTCCCTGAAATCAGTGGAAATGGGTGAAATAGGGTAAACGTGGGTGATATATGGTAGAAGTGGTTAGATTAGGTGAAAATGGGTGAAATAAGTTAGAAGCGGGTTGAAAGTGGGTGATATACGGTAGAAGTGATTTGATAAGGTGGAAACGGATGAAATAGAGAAGGAATTGATGGAAGTGAATGAAATAGTGTAGTACGAAAGCGACTCTCTTTAGTTGTATCTTTATTCGAATGAATAATGAAAAACAGAGAAAAAGAAACAAAGAATGTGTATAACGAGAAACGAGATATGATGTGAGAGAATGTGAAGGCATATAACGATATGACTGTAACACGTAGGAATCGGTATTAACCCTCCGGTGATGTTTGTGGGCCCAAGAGACCCACAACAGTGGTTTTTTGTTTTTTTCTACTTTAAGATCTATGCAAATCGAAGCGATCTTTTCGCTAATCGTTAATCTGCTATTGACACATAAGGACCATATAAAATTTATTGCAAAATTATCAGCAGTGAAAAACTAGAGCGCGGATCCGTTTGGACCCCCTGACAACATTCGTGTTATATAGATGATTTTAATTCGTATTACATACGCCATCTGCTATTTCGAAGGTCTATTTATTTAAGATTGATTAGTTTGTTGCTGCAAGTAAGAAATAATGTGTTTCTCTATCCTTATTTATCTATCGAAATATTTTCACCATTCTCTTAACTTTTCCTCACGATAATCGTAATCCTTTTTTTTCTTGAAAATTCAGCATGTTACGTACACTACAAGCGTATCAATGCATTACTGACTGAAAAGAGATCATGACATGGACCTTGATCTATCTTATATAGTACATTACAGATGAAATTTCACGTTTTCCTTATGTATTTAGATGTGGGTCTACTTGGACCCACATACATCATTCGTGTGACAAAAAGCGAACATCACCGGAGGGTTAATCAGTGGAATAGGGACAGAGCGGGTGGATGTGAATGGGAATGTGTGTTAGTCGGTGGAATAGGTTTGGAGTACCCAGTGAAAAATGACCATGAAAAAAAACGGTAGAAAACGCATTCGTAAAAACATGGAAACTGATCCTGCATTAGGAAAACGCTTTCTGCAGTTTAACGAAAGCATTCATTAATGGCAAAAAAATGTTTAGTATTTAGTGGAACGCATTCTTTGCCGTTCCATATTATTATATGGCGCTTTCTTCTCGATTCAAAAATCGTTCTTCGACTGATCAGAAAGCGTTCTAGCCCGTTCCAAAACCTAGTGGAATGAGTTTTTTATCATTCTTTCCTGGAACGATTAGAATTGGATTCCATTAAAATGAGATCGTTTTCTTTGACGTTCCTTAAAAAAACGTCTGCGAACGAATTCTTTGAACTGATAAATGCATTCCAGATAACCAAATATTATTCCTAACAAGAGTAGAATGAATCCGTCGCCGTTCTCTAAATTATGGAACACTTTCATCTAAATTTAACGCCAGTTTTGGGTTCAAAACTGCCTATCCTGAAGTACGATATATTAAAATTAATATAAAAAATGGAAGAACATTCGCTAGGTTGTACTTCCCAGCTGACAAACTCAATTTTCAAAAAAAATATTTCATGTCATAATTTCTATAGTTCAAGCTACAAAAAAATCTGAGCACGCCATTGGATAGAGCTCGTAAAGTTGCATTGGGAGAGGTGTCTCGACGAATCTTGTACTTACTTCTCTTTGAAGATTATTGTAGAGAATGTGCATGTAGATGATAATTATCGGAAACGCTTTCCAGAAAAATAAATGCTCTTTTTTCCTGAAAAAGAGCGTTCCAGAAACAGTGGAATGTGTTCTTGACCGTTCCAGAAACAGTGGAATGCGTTCTTGACCGTTCGATGTTGGAACACGTTCCAAATTTTGTGAAACGCTTTTTTTTCTTAAAAAAAGCTGACTTTTGTTTTGGAACGTGTTCTATACCGTTATTTTCAATGATTATTTTTCACTGGGTAGGTGAGAGAGAGTGAAAATGGTTGGAAGTGGATGGCATATAATGAGAGTGGGTGGTGTGGTTTTCAAACGCATCTTTGATAGTGGGCTTGCCTCTTGTGAGAGACAGTGTTATTGGAGAAAACTGCCGTTCAGTTTGCATGAGTCTCTGCTAGTCTTTTGTGTATTTGATCGAGATAAGAGAGGAAATAGAAAAGATAAGAAACTGAATATGTATTACTGATATGTGAAGAGGTTTTGTGTAATATATTTGACTTCTATTCTCGGTCCATATAAGTTAGAGGTGATATAAAATAGACATATCAAAACATATTGTTTTTAGAATAATGAAAAATAATGTACAAGAAAAATAAATGTTGAGTGTTTGATTATCGAATGTTGTATAGTTTATTATACAAGAATGTAACTTCTAGGATGGCTTTCTACTGGCAATATGACTAGTGCACGATCTGCTCACACTGCATCTGTATTATCAAATGGAAAAGTATTAGTAGCTGGTGGAAGCATTGTTTATACTGGTGCTTTAAGTACTGCTGAATTGTATAATCCATCAACAGGTACTTGGACAACTACAGGTAGCATGATGTATTATCGAGAGTTGCACACAGCATCTGCATTATCCAATGGAAAAGTATTAGTTACTGGTGGATGGAATATTGAAGATTTAAATACTGCTGAACTGTACGATCCATCGACAGGCTTTTGGGCAACTACTGGTAACATGGAGACTGCACGAGTTTATCACACAGCATCTGTATTATCAAATGGAAAAGTATTAGTTACTGGTGGAACGTCTGGTGGTGTTTTTAATAGTGCTGAGCTGTATGATCCATCAACAGGTACTTGGACAGCTACTGGTAACATGACTACTGCACGAGAATATCACAAAGCGTCTGTGTTATCAAATGGAAAAGTATTAGTTACTGGTGGAGCGTATCTTGATGTTTTAAATAGTGCTGAACTGTATAATCCATCAACAGGTACTTGGACAACTACTGGCAACATGAATAATGCACGATATTCTCACACAGCATCTGTATTATCAAATGGAAAAGTGTTAGTTACTGGTGGATCATATATTACTGGTAATTTAAATAGTGCTGAATTATATGATCCATCAACAGGTACTTGGACAATTACTAGTAACATGACGACTGCACGAGAACATCACACAGCATCTGTATTATCGAATGGAAAAGTATTAGTAGCTGGCGGATACGATACAGGTAGGATTTTTGATAGTGCTGAATTGTATGATCCATCAACAGGTACTTGGACAACTACTAGTAACATGAATAATGCACGAAGTACTCACACAGCATCTGTATTATCCAATGGAAAAGTATTAGTTACTGGTGGAGGGAATAGTATGATTCCTTTAAATAGTGCAGAATTATATTAATTATTTCGAACAAATTAACTTTCAGTTGTCTTATTCTTTTTCTTACAAGTAGTCTACATTTCAAACAATATTTTAGTTAGAACAATTGTCGTTTTATTATTGGCTTGAACCATTTCCTTCAATATTTTGTCTATATTATCATACACTTTAATATTCGATTCCAAATAAAAAAAAATATTTTTGTTTTCTTACTCTTCAAGATTAATTTATCGGAATGAATAAAACTTACAAATGACGTGATAACTTTAATTATTCTTTGAAATTTTCTCTTACGAGGGAAGTTCACCAGGTGATACCCTCCTTTTAAGCTCATAGAGTAGAGAAAAACTTCAAAAGGTTTCGCGCCATTGCTACTCCTGTCCTGAGCAACAGGGTTTAGAAGTTTCTCTAAAAGTAAGATTTTATCGTATTTTTTAGAAAATGTTTTTTCCATATTTCCGTTGTGAAATATTTTTATAGGTTGTTTTTTTTCAAATTCATCGCAGCTATAGTTACTATTTGTAAAGAGATCAACTTCACGTTGCTTAACCGTGGCCTGCCCTTTGGCTTCTTCACGGACCATTTTAGAAAAATTTAATTTTTTTGAACTATGAGACATTTAGAGACAGATTTGATATCAGCTGAAAGTCACTCTATTGTACACTTCAAGTCAACAATCTCAATCTAGTCTCTATCATAAAAATGATTTTTTTTATGTTCGCTGAATTTATAATGTTATGGCACGCACTATAATTCATAAGAAAGATGTGTTTGTTGGATTTGGTTTTAACTTTTCCTGCATATTAGGAACGGATGTGGGTGTCGATTTAGAAAAAAGACATCCACACCTACACCCACCCTCAAGATTTTAATCGGAGTATTTTTTCGTATTGGTTTCATTTTATTCTTACTGTCGAAGAACAATTGGAGTGGGCGTAGATTGAGGGATTACAGGCACGAACACCCATATCCATTCCTTGTTGAGAACCTACTGATGAATCCGACGGAAACAACATATTGGGCGGGTGTAAGTGTATATGGAGTGAAGACGATTTCAATCCATACCCTCAAAATGGTTTTTTCATAAATGACATTCGATTTTTTCGAAACTGCAAGGGGGAAACACCAGAATTCATGAATCCATTTGAATCCACTTGAGTCCACGTGAATCCATTCGAATTCACTTGAATTCACTCTGTTATGAAAGTCTTAAAATTATAAAAATATGGGTAAAAAACTGAGCTCGACGTGTAAACTCGAAATTTCGAGCTCACTTACGAATCCACATTTTATCGCTCAGTTGCGGTCTGTACGTCTAGATTCGGATTGATCTCACATGTTTTCCATAAAAACTAATTAGATAAACATCAGTATATATTTAAGATTAAATGAAATACCATTTTTTACTTCCGGTAATTAATTAAATATTTCTAATTACTTCTGAAAGCTAATAAAACACTTCTAATCATTTCCGAAAGTAATTACAGGGATTTCATTAATTATCTAAAGCAATTAGAATCATCTCATTAATTACCTGAGGTAATTACAGGTATTGCATCAATTACCGAACGTAATTAGAAGTGTATATCCGATTAGTGATACTGATTAGCAGTAGTTTTAGAAATCCTAAGCACTTAAATGATAAATTTTGATATAAGATTATGATGCACTGCTTTTCGTGGTAAAGTGTGAAGTAGATCTAGGACAGCTCACAGTTCCAAGTTCAGAGGAACTGGTCAAAAGAACTACCAATACAGTTCTTTTGAAAGAAACTGATCTGTGCCAACAGTCCTTTGACAAGAACTGAACTGTATCGACAGTTCTTTGTCAGAAATTGAACTATTCTAACCATTCTTCGATAGGAACTTATCTGTGCCAAAACTCATTTATTCAATACGAATTAAAATATTTCTTGAAGAGATATTTCAATTTGAAAAGTCATCATAAAACTCGTCAAAAAAAGTCACAGTTTGTATTGAAAAAATAAGTTTTGAAGCTGACCAGTTACCATGAAAGAACTGGTGACACAGATCAGTTCCTGTCAAAAGAACTATTATACAGTTCCAAAGAGCGGACTAATATGGAACTGTCCTACCATTAGGGGTGAGTCATTTAACTTAACGCTTTATATAAAGTATTGAGTTTTTTCATTAAAAATCAAAGCTTAATATTAAGCGTTAAGTAAACATTTAATGCTTAATATTAAGTATTAAGTGAAAACACTTAATTAAGTGGAATTAAATTAAGTGACTCACCCCTAGTCCTCCTCCCAGTGTGACGTGACATGAGATAAACTCGAAATTCTGAGTTTACGACGATTCCAGTACACTTTTTTTGGCGTAAAATATATACATAAACAGACTGCTTGTTGGCTATCAACTGGTGAAAAAATTAAAATGTCAAACAATTGACTGCTTCGAGTACGACAGATTCGTAAAGAAAGATAATGTATGTTTGTATCCGAATCAAAATTTATAAAAATTTCATACAATAGTACACGATACAAACAAATAAATAGTAGTATCGAATTTTTATAATGAATTTCAGAAAAATGGAAAATCATCTGACGAAATTTTATGTGACTTCACGTGAATCCGCTTGAATCCAGTTGAATCCAAGGAACTGGATTCTGCTGTTTCCCTCTTGTTATTGAAACACTTTTGTTACAAAACGACTTCGAAGTCAGTTCATAAATGGCATAAATAACTATATCTGTAAATAACAACAGATGATCTAAAACAAAATCTATCATCATATCAGATATACGAACTAATGAGAATGATGATGAGGATGTTGATAAGGTAAACAAAATACTTACATTCAATTTACCTAGTTTTTACATGAGCATATATTTTAACGAAAGAGAATCAACAATAAGACAATCTCTATTTAATATTTCTTTACGATTAGTAATTATCTCATTGTTAGTCTTAAATTTATCAATTCAAGCCACTACAAAAAAAATCAATTTGATTAGTGCAGAATATCTATTGAGAGGTTCTGTTGAAATATCAGAGCAAAACTATACATAGATGTACTTTTTTTTCGTCATATTAATTCATTTTACAAAGTATGAAACGATTCAACTTTGATTTTAAGATTCTTTAGGAGCCTTGGTTTTACATACGCACGCCTAATCTGTCTAGAAGCAACCAATCCAAAAATAAGAGTAAATTGATAGCAATGGGAAACATTGGGATAAAATCATAATAAGTAGAGAGAAGATTCGCTTATTAAATGTCGATTGATGCAATATAATGTTCTCTTTCAACACATGGTTGTTTCACAAGTGTTGGGTATCTACATAACAAAATAATACTATTACAAACCATCTTCAGTTTCTATGAAACTTGCTTATAGTATGTTGTTCTCGCCCATGCTGCTATTTACAAATAGAACTCACAGAGCTCTATCAAATAGACTCAGCTTGAGCAGAGATTGATTTGTTATTCTCATGTCTGTTCCAGAAATAATGCGTTTCTCAATACGATCAGTATAAAAAAATAAAACAGTTTTAAGACAGTAAAGCGTTTTCTCCTGTTTATTCTTCAAGATATTAATTTTAACTTTTTCTGAAACTATCCCTAATAAAAAACGCTCAACAAATCATTGTATCAGGCCTCATCGAAAAATATATTATTTAATATAGAAAACAAAATTGATGAACATTATATGACTATTTTGATCCAAGCTACTATTTTTGAAAAAAGGATTAAATTCCATAACGGCTAATATTTTTTCGAATAACTTCACTTTACCTTAAAGGAAAATCGATAATATTTATATCGATAGTAGATCTGGATTGTCTCTATTTACAGTAAAAATATTAATAAATTTCTCGATTGGATATTAATTAATATATCCGCCATGATTGCAGAGTTAATAGCAAATGTAACTAGAATGAAAAAAGCGTTCTATATGTGTATTAATATTTTAGAAAAACATTTTCATCGTATATGAAACTTCATCCTTTATAAAAATCTATGATTATATTTTGTAATGTGTTGGTATAAATAAATGAAGATAACAACAATGATGATGTTAAAATTCTGTTCTACTTTGCTATGCTTATCATAATGATATACGAAGATTCTTTTACAGCAAAAAATTCACCATAAAAATAAAATAAATTCTAATATGTATTACAATTCTTTGTATTTTTATTAAAACAAATAAAACAATTGAACTGTGTTCATCATCACAAATACAATGTATGGATGAAAATCGATTAAATTGTAATAATTCATTATTATTTTTAATAGATTTTCAATGTGTTTCAGCAGTATTTCCTAGAACTAATACACAAGAACAATTTAATTCAACAATGCGTATTCCTTTTTCATCCAAACAACATAATACTAAAATAAATATTTCATCAGCAAAAACTCCACCTATTATGGCATCATCTTAGTCAGCAGCAGCAACATATTATAATATGTCAAAGGGTGATATTGGTTGGGGTTATTTTTGGTATGATGTATCTGATCAAGCCATTCGAATAGATTACTATCCAACATATCCTTTTTGTACAATTATATGAAGTTGATGTAGATGTTAATTATATTCCATGTAGTGTGCTTTTGTATGCAGGATAAAATTATTCTTAACTCATTGGTTACGGGGCACACATATTATCGTCATCATAATATTATTTAGGCTCCATCGAAAAGACTCCTCTTTTTCTCTTATATTGGCAACATTATTGTGTCATCATTCCGTATAGTTATGTGTATATTCGTGTGCTCTCCCTTGTGTTTTGGCGCACCTGCTTTTCACATTCTGCTTCATTTTGGTATATTCTGACGTATTGCCTCTTTTTTCTTTTTCAATGCACTTTCTCGTATGAATAAAATTGTCGATTATAAACAAGAAGCGCCTTACCCCTGTCGATATATATATATATATATATTCTCACAAAAATAATTCTTATTATTCAGATCTATTACGTAAAAGTTTTCGCTGAATATGGCAACATCTACAAATAATGATTCTTATGAAATCTAATAGGAAATATTGTACGAAGATCTTGTACAGTTTGTAGTCATAGAAGCAGATGTGAGAGAAAGCGTACCGACACATACCATCAGTGTGATATTCGAAGACTATTATACTCTGAAATATTTCCGAACACTTTCATATGCTAATAAAATTTATTCGAGACTGTTTTGGAGCGAAAAACAAAAAATCCATCTTAATAAAAAAACCCTCAACCAAAGGGCCCAAGACACAGTCATATAGTTGCATACTCTATACAATAAATTAAAATGGCGAAGAAAAAGTAGATCTGTGTACAGTTCTGTCTTCATATTTTAACGACACTTCTCTGTCGATATTCTGTGCTAATTAGTTAGATTGTTTTCGAGTGGCTTGAATTGATAAGTTTAAGACTAACAAATGAGATAATTACTAATAATAAAGAAATATTAAGTAGAAACTGTCCTATTGTCTATTCTCTTTCGTTAAAATATATGGTTATATAAAAATAAGATAAGTTGAATGAAAGTATTTTGTTTAACTCATTAGTTCGTATATCGGATACACTTATAGATTGTCTTTTAGATTATTTGTTGTTGTTGTTTACAAATATATTTTTATCTATGTCATTCATGAACTTAGCTCTAAGCCTTTTTGTTAATGAAATGTGCCAATGATGATGCATCCTAAATTCGATGGATACTATCAAAACAATTAAATATTATGAAATACGACATTGTAAAACTAAGAGAACATATTTGAAAGGATAATTAAAGTTGTTGAAACAATTGTAACTTTTGTCAATCATAATAAAATAATTTATAAGAGCAGAAAAGAAGATATATTTTTTATTTGGGATCGAAGATTAAAGTAAGTGGTAATTCAATAAAAACATAGAAGGAAACAGTTCGCGGACGTCATAAAATGAGAATTCTTCTAACTAAAGTATTGTTTGAAATTAGGACTACTTGCAAGCAAAAGAATAAGATAACTGAAAGTTACTTTGTTTGAAATAATTAATATAATTCTGCACTACTTAAAGCACCATTATTATTCTCTTCGCCAGCAATTAAAACTAATCAATTTGATAATACGGATGCTGTATGAGAATTTTGTGCATTATTCATACTACCAATAGTTGTCCAAGTACTGGTTAATGGATCATACAGCTCAGCACTACTTACATGACCAATATTATTATTCAATCCACCAGTAACTAATACTTTTCCATTTGATAATATAGACGCTGTATGATACCATCGTGTATTAGTCATGCTACCAATAGTCTCCCAAGCACTTGTTGAAGGATCATACAATTCAACACTATTTAAACCAATATTACCATTGGCTCCACCAGTAACTAATACTTTTCCATTTGATAACACAGATGCTGTGTGATAATATCGTGCATTATTCATATTACCGGTAGCTGTCCAAGTACCTGTTGATAGATCATACAGTTCAGCACTACTTAAAATAATACCCGCAGTTCCATATCCACCAGTAACTAATACTTTTTCATTTAATAATACAGATGCTGTGTGCCAATATCGTGTGTTAGTCATGTTACCAGTAGTTGTCCAAGTACTTGTTGATGGATCATACAATTCAGCACTATTTGAAAAACTGCCAGTAACAGCTCCACCAGTAACTATTACTTTTCCATTTGATAATACAGATGCTGTGTGCCAATATCGTATATTACTCATGTTACTAGCAGTTGTCCAAGTACCTGTTGATGGATCATATAGCTCAGCAATATTTAAATAACCAATATTATCATTGTATCCGCCAGTAACTAATACTTTTCCATTTAATAATACAGATGCTGTATGATAACGTCGTGCACTAGTCATGTTACCAGTAGTTGTCCAAGTACCTGTTGATGGATCATACAACTCAGCACTATTTAAAACACCGCTAATACCAATTCCACCAGTAACTAATACTTTTCCATTTGATAATACAGATGCTGTATGTTCAGATCGTGCATTAATCATGTTACTAGTTATTGTCCAAGTACTTGTTAAGGGATCATACAGCTCAGCACTATTTAAAACACCGCTAATACCAATTCCACCAGTAACTAATACTTTTCCATTTGATAATACGGATGCTGTGTGAAAATGTCGTCCATTATTCATATTACCTATAACAGACTATTCTAGACAGAAACATTTGATTGTATTCATTCTAGAAAGGCTATCTCTTGTAGAACTCTCAACATGATGAAATTATGTGCGAAAAGTTTTAGATTTTGTACAATAGAAATCGTTTTCTACTTTTGATGCAAAGTTTTTCGAGCTTTTAGCGGAATGCGAAAAGTATCAAATTTGTTGCAAAAAATCATTCTTGATACGGTACGAAAATAAGTTTCACGTTTTTGATAAGCAATCGTATGCGAGGATGACATATGAAAAAGGTTTGTATTTTATACTTTTCGTTACAATGTTTCTAAGAATTAATGCACTTTTTATTATATATAGCTTCTCTTGATGATAGTCACTTAATGAAACTCCCTAAGTAAAGGAAAAGCGGTCCTTATTGCGTTTTCCGGTTCGTTTCCTACTAGTTCTCACAGCTGGAAACGGTGTCTAGATACGGTTGCGTTTACAGCGCCATTCCAGACTAAGAAATACAGTGATTTATCATGACCGAAGAATATAGACCGCATCTTATCGTGTTCGAAACCTGAACTATGGCTTATCCAGGGAGTGTAAAGAATAATCAAAGATGACGGACTAACTAGTAAATAATAAGCAAGTACAACTATTTATATTTACATACAAAAAAGAGAGAAGGAGAATTGACTAGCATTTCGGCGCGCAAAAATGTCGTGCGTGACAGATATGCGTACACTCCTTTGGGACAAAATGATTTTTGTTTCTGTTCTCTTTATACTTAAAATTAGGGTATGTAGTAATACTGAGCGAAGAGAAAAAGTAGATTTCGTTGTATGAATGTCAACAAAACCACGTGAGCGTTGATTGTTAGGAAGAATAGCGCATGCGGGGATTATTGCATCTTCGTTCCTTCTTAAGATAACGATTGAATCACTTATGAGAAGATCACTGTTCTTTTAATGTAACTTTTAGTTAGATATAGAAAACTGTTTGACGCAAAGTAACCACTTATATCTGATTTAAAAGCATCATTTAAGGAGACCAGAAAACGTTACTCTGAAGCTTACCAGACAGCTGAGTTGTGGTCGTTGTCACTAGTGATGTTGTTGCTGTTAGTGGTGATGATGATGTTGCGACGGTGGTACTAGTTTCTGATATCCTTGGTATGAGAACGACGAAGTATAACACCAGAGCAACGATATTAGCAGAAAGTATTAAAAGGAGAACGAAAATGCCAGTTATTTTAACCCAACGACGGTGCCACCATTTCTGTGGTTTATTAGTTACAATAACACGCTGTCTGTGAACTCGGTTTGTGTGCATATTATGTTCCAGATGAAACTTAAACACAAAAAAAGAACACACTTGTTCGAATTTACTTTCTATTTGCCTATTACTTTCACGTAAGTAACAGAAAATGACTAATATTATTTTCAATATCAATAGGAGTGTTACTTTATCTTTATTTTACAAAAAAATTAAAATAATCTTTATCTAAAAAATAAAGATAAAGATAATCTTTATCTGAAAAAATAGAGTTAAAATAAAGATCCTTTTTTTCTTGCACTAAGTACATATGCAAATACTCCGTATAATAACAGAATACATTTATTAATGCTCTTTCTTATCATCATCGTCATTTCTACATACTATATCATCAAAAAAAGGATCACACAAGAAACAATATATAAGAAAAGTGTTATTCCATATTATAGTTAACTCTATAATATCATAATTTTTTGTGAGCTACTCTAAAAAAATAAGAAAAGTACTTTTCGATAAAAAAAACTTTTTTTCTTTAATTTCGAAAATAAAGAGATTTTCGTTTCTTTATTCTTTATCATAAAGTAAAATAAAGATAAAGTAACACCCCTAAATATCAAAGGTATTGTTATACTCTTATTTTAATATAATAAATTTTACATGTGAGCGTGATAGTACAAAACTGTGCTTCACGGCTAAGTTTTCCCGCACTCTCACCCTTCTTCTCTTAATATTATGTTTTTTTCATTCCGTCTACATCATAGTCCAAGGTCTGTCTTTTCTACAAGGTGGAATCAACAGACTCCAGATCCGTATCGAAGATTCTGAGGCTCTTGAAGTGATAGAGTTTGGTCGAAAATATTCAAATAGCGTTCATAATATCGAAACACGATCCTGATTTTGCTTTGAAGAGTGTGGATGGGTGGTGAAGCAGTAGCCTGACGCATACTCATTCTTAAGATTGCTGAGATTATGAAGTACAATTTAAAGATGCTCATTCACTATCCAAATCGTTTGAAAGGAACAAAGTACCAGCATATGTTCAATATAGGTTTTGTTAGAGTAAAGTTGACTAACATCAAGAAACTAAGTGGCCATTTAAAGATTAAGCATATTCTTCTAGCATCTCGACTGCTTTTCACTAAGATTGCAAATGTTGGGTGATAGGAAAACAGAGCGGTGAAACTAATGTCTGAATTAAAACTCCATACTATATCAATCAATAGAAATCACATTGGTATCGACGTTCATAGATTTTTAAACTTTATCTCTGGTAAAAGTAGGACGAAAAACTATCGGGTTCTACGGATGCATCAAATATCCTGAATTTAAAGTTAAGATAAAACTTGCAGGACCCTTCTTACATTCATCAAGGATCGAGCTTAAAGATATCAAAAATTTTTCTTATCAATCATTCGATATATACGCAACCCTACAAAAACAGACTGTCGAATAGAGAGCTAATTTTTACATGTTCCTATGTGTGCATCTCAGCAACACTAGTTAATTACTGAAAACTATATCAAACTACATTGAGAAATTTCTAAAAAATCCAAAATTCTATTAGAAAATCAGAATTTTAAAATTAATATTGTACTTTGAAGAAAAATTAGGATACTAATCAATATAAAATACTCGATAATATTGACTTAGAATCGTAGATCCGACTAACTCCTTCTGAAAAGTTATTAAATCCTGAAAGACCTTATTGAGCAGTCTTACCTTAAATACTCGTTCTTATCTGAAATAGACTTCATGTCTAACTCGATGCAAATTATTGTTGCGTAGTATTTTATGAACTCTGCAAGAGAATAATGTACACTTCAACCCAAAATGTTATCAAATGAGGGCAAAACTGTAGTAAACTTTTGTTATTACGAAAACTGTCGAATTCGAGCTGGAGAATATTCAGTTTCATTGAAATCGATGAAACATGGAGATACTCTTCTATATAGAATATCTATGAAGTTTTCAATTATTCTCGACTATATCTAATGAAAATGAATTTGATTCAAAGTCACTGACACAAACCGAAGACTTCCAACTGGATGTATTTCTTCCACATTCTTATCATTTTTATCTCAGTAAGTACGATCTTTCTCGTCGATATACAACTATAGATTATTTATGAGGCAATTAATAAAGTTTAGAGACATCAGAACAATCAAATTTAACGACTAGACGCTTTCAGATAAAATAATACTTATTGCAAACTCCAAACTTTTGAGCTATCGTTGAATTTCTAGTTTCTCTTTCATTTTAACTCAAGTATTATCTCAGAAAACTACCGGTTGATAGACTTAAAATTATATATTGTTGTTATGTATTATAAGATTACTTAGTAATCAATAGTGCAACGATTATCGCCACTATAAATTAGAATAAATATATAGTCACAAAAGTAAAACTATTTCTTACCGTGTAATGTCTCGTACAAAATGAAATAGTAAAATGTTGTATACTCCACCTTTATAGTCCTGTTTATTAAGAAGGAGGCAAATATATTGCTATCGGTTGTAAAAACAATAAAAAAAAATTTATCTATTCACTTCTATTACAGTGACGAAGTTGACAAAATTCTTCTAACGAGCAAAAAAGAAAAAGAAAGGAAGAAAATCTTCAAGTAGTAAGGTATGAGTATGAATAAAGTCGCGAATGAGATATCAGCGTATTACTCTCACACTCCTCTCAAACACAATATCCAATCGCTTGAAGAATTCGATTGCGTAATTGACTGTTTAAATCAATAAAAATAATAATTTGGGTGGTAATGGATGCGGTATAAATATGTTATATCTCATTAATTTTTCTATATAGAATTGATTGAAAAATGTTACATACTATTAACACTTTTAATTGAAATTTTTTTAATAAATAATTGTGAATTATCTTACTCGACAAAAATATTAATTGAATTATGATACTCTTTTGTAATTTCATTGAATTTATCTCATAAATAACTTAAATTACTTTCATTAAATTCATTTTCTTCACAAATATCTTGTTATTATTTACCGTTGCCACATGTATCGAATCAAACGTTGTAAAAAGGAAGAAACAAATATCTACTTGCGTTTTAGCGCATATTTCAAATAAAACAATTTTATGACAGTAAGAAGATACACTAGAAAGAAAAAGAATTCGTTTTTTTCTCGAGTAAAACAAAGTCTTCTACCGAGTAAAATGATTTGAATGAAAATATAACGGTGAATATCGTTTTTATTGACTTTCGTTACTTTATAATGGAATATTACTACAGCAGATCTCTCTTTTTGTAAATGTTATATCAACTATGAGTCTTTTGAAATTGTACAAATCCATCGAAAACATATATTGAAAAGACTAAAGGATCTAGATGTTGCTATTAGTATCTATTTAACCCGCATCTTCAAAAAGTATTGATGTATCAATTTGTTTTCTTACAATTCTTTCATTCAGTCAACCAAGATTTTGTTTGATAATCAAATGGAATTTAAAAAGTATTTTCTTTCCTTTGAAGAAAACAGTTGATTTCGATCCTAACACTTCTTTTATTGCTAATGATGAGAAAAAAACAAATTATAATGTGTTTCAATGATAGTACTAATCCAATAAAAACCATTTCGCTACAGATGTGGGTGTGGATACCTCTTCTTTAACAACACCTACATCGTATTTTATTTCGATTAGTTTATTTGATTTTCTTATGTTGATCGAGTTTTACTATTGGTTTTCTTTATTCTTCAATACTTTTCAACATACTAATAAAAGATTTTATTCTATTGAAATATATTTGATAAGAAATATTTATATTAAAATAAATAATAAAAATTAAACAGAATATTAAAAATGAATCAAAGCTGTACTCCTTTTTTAATATTATTTTAATATTGATTTACTAAGAAAATACTATAAAAGATGAAATTTAGTTCTAATTGAAATATTTTTAAATTTTTATTAATTTATTTCATTTTATACAAGTTTTTCGACGGCGAGTATGGGTGTGACTATCTATCTTCTCTTAACCCACACCCATACTCACATAGCCACATCCGCACGCCTACGCCCACACCCTCAAACTGCATTAGATTTAAACAACTTTTTTGAAAAACAGCAGTATCCTTTAGTTTTATTTCGTTTATTTAAGTAAAATTGTCAATCAATATTTTCTCTAAACACAATCAATTGAATATCTCGGTTAAATAGAAGCACATAATTACGAGAAAAACTATTTTATGAATTTCTTAGTCAAAAAATTTGAATTTTTTCAAAGTGGATAAGCGTGTACCACTCTATCCATCTTTTAAAAATAAGACCCATCCATCAAACTGTTTCATTTGAAATTTTTTCTTAATTTCTATCATATCAGAATGCTCAAGAATGTTGGTTAAATCTCTAATACTGCGTAAGGTCGCAGTGCCTGAAAAACTACGAATTATTAATCTTTCTAAACTTTTGAAATTCTTCAATATTTTTTTAACAATATCTGCATAATTTTGAAATCCGTTATCAAGCCCATGTTTCACTTTAAAATATATATGTTCAACATTTGAAAAATAATCATAACTTATTTCTGTTAATTGTTCAAGTAGAGAATCTGTTGAGTCAATATCTAATCGTCGAATTCTTTTATTAAGTAGATCAGCTGATTGACTATCTGGAGAAGGTAAATCAACAGTTGATAAAATCAAATGATTTAAATTAGGTAATGCTTGAATTAACCATTCGTTTCTATTTTCAACAGACCCATGATCAAATTGAATTGTCGTTATATTATCTAATGTCACATGATTTTTCATTTCTTCATTTGTATCTACGTACAAATCTTTAGTTTCTTTTTCATCCTTATTATTCTCGAGGATTGGACAACGTTTGATAAAAATTAACTTAGACATTTTCATTTTGAGTTCTTTCAGAAAGTTAATATCATATGTCGATCTATACTCCAAATCAATATATTTAATAGTACACCATATTCGAGGATTAGTTCGTAGAATTCATGAAGATACTCGAAATGAAATGGTAATGTATAGAAATATGTTCCATGCATTCCAAATGTCCGCTTATGATCAAACCAATATTGATCTTGAAACTCAGATAAAACGTTACAAGAATAACCATAAGACTCTAATATAGCATAAAGATGAAATTGTTTGAACTCGATCATTGATTCTAATAATTGTTGAAGTTCTACACTATTAAATGGAAATTCAAATTTTCTTATATCAGTGCATTCAATTAAATTGAGTGATAAACAAGTTAATGATGATGAAAAGTGTTTTATTCCATTGATTAATTCGTTCGAATCGTCGAAAAAACTAATTGATTCTTTTAAGGTTAAATAAAATTGTTTTAAGTTGATGTTACTTTTCTCGATTGGTGTTATACAAGTACGGCTTAATTGTGTACGAATATTTAAATATTTTAAGTTTGGTGTATATGAAATTAATGAAAATATATCTTGAAATTCATTCAAAATCAGTGTTAATGAATGTAAATTTAAATTAATTTCATAACCACTTAAACGATCTTTTGCATATTTTATAATCCATGGATAATGAAATTTTTGTAATAGACTTTTATTATTGAAAACTTTTCTCAATACGTTATTTTGATTGATCAAACGGGAAGAAAATGATTCAGTAGAATATATTAGATTTTCTTTTATTTTGAACGAGTGTAGTTGTGCAAAGGATTTACTTCGGAAGATTAATTTCATTTGATCATCTGGTAAACCATAAGGTGTGGAAATAATTATTGATTTTAGATTTGAAAAATATTCTACTGGAAATGGTAAACCAATTGAAGTTATGTTTAATGATTCTATCCAAGATCCAATAACTGAAAGTATATTTTTCCATGTATCGAAATTCTTTGTTGGTAATTGTAAATGTTTCGTATAATGCGGGTTTTGTAGCAATAAATTGTTAAGTCGTTGACTGAAGAAGAAAAATGTATAAATGATGTCGTTATTTGATAAATAATCAAATATTGTAAAAATAATTTCAGTAGGTAATCGATCAAACCATGTTGTTGATTCAATGCTTGTTGTAGTCCCCATGTTAAAAATAATCTGTTGAAAAAGAGTTTTATTGATATAATGGTAATATAATTGTTATATTGACTTATCTATAAACAAATAACACATGGAAAGTCTTGTTAAAAGGAAAGAAAAAAAGTATGTGTGATAATTGTGTAAGAAGGAAAAAGCGAATTTTGGGACTTTGAAAGTTCATTTTGAAGGTGTGGGTGTGAGTATGGAATGAATATAACACAAACATCCACACCCTCAATGTTTTACATTTTTTTCATTCGAAGTGAACATAAGAGAAGAATACATTATGGAAAGAGTATTCGAAATTTCAAATATCTATTTTGTCATTCGTCAATATTCCGCGACCGAAGAAACAGATTTTTATTTATATTATCTATATCTTTGAAATAGTCAATTTAGAAAAGTATATTCATGACTAATTTTCATATTTATTCAAAACAAATCAATTTTATCACCAAAAATACGATTTTCGATTAATAATTTTTAGAATATAAACACGAAGAAGTTTTTTCTGTTGAATTAAATTTTTCAATATTATTATCAGATCATTATGTTGTTTTGAAATACACAATGAAGATAAATAGCGAGTATTGTTATTAGGTTTTGACAATAAAAGATGAACTATAGGCTTTAAATCTTGTTGGAATACGTTAATAGGAAGATTTTTCATTCAACGAAAAACAGCAGTTTATAATTGAATTTTTTTTAGTGACATTGCTTCACTAATTGTTAATTTTGTTATAATATTTGTTTTAGATACTGATTGACTTCATGTATTCTATTGAATTAAATTCGAATTATTTGGATAAAGTATTATTCAATCAAGTTTCAATGTATAAACATTCGATGTAAATTGTGAAAGTTCAATTAATTGTTCCAAAGAAAAATCATCTCGTGGGTGTGTGGGTGTGGATGTCTCTTATCGATCTAGATCCACACACACACATACCCTAAAATCTCGTTTATTCATTTTTCGAAAATAATTGGGTGATAAATCAGATTTTATCGCGATTAATCAAAGAATCTTTTTTTAATAAATCATGTTAATCGCTGCTTTTTGCAAAGTAACTTCTGATTACTAATTAATTAATAAACTATTCAGGAAATTGAAAATCAGATGAAACCCCTACACAATCTTTTACCATAATCATATGTATTTAACAATTCTAGTAAACGAAATTATCGAATGTATTGAACTTTATTTCAGATCAAATACCTAAGAGGTTAAAATCGATTAAAAATTAGTTTTTCTTTACATGGGCAGCTCTATTTGTTATTATTAGATTTTTGAAAAATAAAATATTGATTAATTGAACTTGATAACTAGCGATTATTAAGAAAACAGTAAAGAATAATTTGAAAAGTGTTAAGGATATTGGAAAGAAACATAAGTTTAGTTTTTGCATCGTACCTTTCCCAACCTTTATATAGTTTTCATATCGAACAAATGATCGCTTTTTAGCTATAATAGAAAACATTGCTCTGAGTATTGTTTATCTAGGAAAACAAGTGTACGATAGAAAAGAACTATTCTCACCTCTGGTTGAAAAATCAATTTGGATCAAAGATATCCATTGTGCTTGAAAACTCGTAGCTGACAGATTGTACAGAATATTAGATAAGTGATCTGCGTTTTGTGACTTTGATTACGCTTGAATAGAATTTCTCATAAAAATATTTATTGCACATAAAGAAATAAAGAACGTGATTAAAAATGCGTCCTGACAAAGCACATTATTTGACAGATTCGAATAAAAGTATATCAAACTAATCATGATTTATTGATTGACGTCAATCATTTATTGACGATAATTTTTAATATCGTATTTTTATTGAAAACACGTTTGATGATTGACATCTATATTGATTAACTCTTTTATCTCTTCATCACGTTCTTCTTCTTCAATAGAATCAAAAAAAAAGAAAAGAATTATGTCGAATTTAAATTCCAGTCTGTTTCCGAGTTTCGAAATGAATAAAATTGAATGATGAATTTTTTTCATTGACCCAATCTAAAATCAATTTTATATCTTACCAACAACGAAGCCTTCTCTGGAACACAATTTTTTCTCTTTGTGTGCTATGTTGGAAGAAATGAATGAGAGAAAAAGAGAGAGATATAACTAGAGAGAAAATCTACGACGAGTGTCATTTTGTTTTCATCGAAGACAAAAAAGAAGAAGATTGTTTTATCATTTAACTAATTTATCAAAAAAAATCTTGTTGAATGATGTGGAATATCTACGTATTTATCATCATTCTTCTGTTCATTCTCAACAATGAAACATCAGGTAAATACTTTTGTTTATCACATATTGAAGATCAGCTATTGCACAAAAATGATATTATTCGTTAAAATCTTGAGATGAGAATGGGACACAACAGAAAGGAAAGAAATCTATTTGATCATGTCAGATTATAACATGAAAAAAAAAAAAAAATTGACTTTTCCAGAAGAAAACAAAACGAAAAATAGGAAAGAAGAACAATTTAATGTAAATAGAAACAAAGTTTTGTGAAATTATTTCACTATTTTGGTTTACAATAAGATGCAAATCTCTTTACTCCATATACAGATCAACATCTCCATTATATAAAAAATACTATGACTACGATAAAATAATTCTGTTGTGTTTGATGTACTCAAAGAGTCTTATGTATAAAAATAGAAGTGAGAGATATTAAGTCAGTTGATCATGTACTTCTATATATTTAATTTACTCTTATACAAAATGAAAAGGATTTAAAACTTTTGGACTGCACAAAAGAAAAGAATCTTTTTTTTGGAACATATGAAATTATTCCGTGGAAATGAGTTTGATTGATCAATAAAATGATAAATATTCTTCATCGATACTTTGTAGACAGGATTACTTATGAAAAAATATTAACTTTTAAGCTGTAAAAATGAATATATCCGCTAGAAAGAAAGAGTACAAATCATATGATACTGTAGAACTATGCGAGTGCAAGTTCATGATTGACACTATCATTTTTATCACTAGACTATCATAAAAGAATATTGTTAAACAAGACAACATTTGAATCGAAAGTCAAATACATAGAATTTTTTCTGATGTTTAAAAGGGATCGATGATTATTGAAATTGATTTTCAAAATATTCAGGTTGAAATAATGAGAAGCAGAAAAACAAGAGAAGGAAAAGTTTGATTAAACTTAATTATTATTTGACAAAAAAATTAATGAAAAGTTGTATTGTTTAATTTGATGAGAATTTCAAAAGAAACAAAACTATATTATGCATAAGAAAAAAAGAATATTTTCATTTTATTTTTATTTTCATCTCAAAAGATTTTTCTTACATCATTTCTTCGAATGACTATTTAAGTAAAGATTAGCAAGAGATTTTTCTCTTCTATTTCACATATTACATTCAACTGAAATGATTTAACATGAATAGATTCGCGATGTTTTTCATATAAAACAGAAAACTGATTTAGAAATTTCAAAGGCATTTTGTTTAGATCTCAGTCAGTTTCAATTGAGTTATTTTCATTCCAAACAATTCTTTTTTCTTCCTTCAAATTCATTTTCGTTTAACAAATAAAAAATTGTTTGGTTATTTTTTTTTGTCTTCAATGGTAATCATATCTTTTCAAGGATCGAACACAACTATTTTTTTTACGACAAAAAAATCAGTAAAAAAAACTAATCTTCTTTCATGAATTCATCCCTCTCTTAGTTGATATTTACAAATCATCCGAGAAAATAAAACAACAATCATAGAAATGTTTTCAAAATTAATCTCAATGAATTCTTCCCAGAAAAAATATAAACTAACAATTTCATATCGTTTATAGTTCTTCTCTAATATTCTTTCTATTTTTCTTATTGTTAGCTCTTTCATTCAATCAGCCAAAGTTTTCTACAACACCCATTTGGAATTCCAATGCAATCACCATTGCTAATCAATCGATTGTCGGTGAAGATCCTCGCGCCATTTTTGTGAATACAAACAACACAATCTATATCGCTAATCGAGAAAATAACACAATTCTAATATGGGAAGAAGAGAGTGTCAATCCAATAAAGATTATTCCTGGTAAATTTACAAAACCCAATTCTCTCTTCGTGACATCGAATGGTGATATTTATATTGATGGTGGTGATTGCGATTGTGATTCTGACTCTGATTCTGATTTTGACTCTGACTCTAATTCTGATTCTGATTCTGACTCTGACTCTAATTCTGATTCTGATTCTGATTCTGATTCTGATTCTGACTCTGACTCTGACTCTGACTCTGACTCTGATTGTGATTGTGAGGAGAATGGTCGAGTGCAGAAATGGATAGCAGAAATAAATAACTTTGTCACAGTAATGAATGCCAACTCATCATGTTGGGGTTTGTTTGTTGATATAAATGATACTCTATACTGTTCAATGGAAAGTCGTCGTCAAGTAGTGAAAAGATCATTAAATGATCCTGCAATGACTTCAAATCGTGTTGCTGCTGGAACAGGTATTAAAGGATCAGCCTCGAATCAACTCTATGATCCTCGTGGAATCTTTGTCGATGTAAATTTGGATTTATATGTGGCAGATTCTTGGAATCATCGAGTGCAGTTATTCCCGTCAGGAGAATCAAATGGCATCACAGTAGCTGGAAGTGGATCACTAAATCCAACAATTATACTTTTTTGTCCAAGTCTAATTATATTAGATGCTGAGAAATATTTATTCATTGTGGATTCTTACAATGATCGCATTGTTGGATCAGGTTTGAATGGTTTTCGATGTTTAGTCGGATGTTATGAAATGGGTTCAGAATCCAATCAATTGAAGCTTCCATATAGTTTGAGTTTTGATCGTTCTGGAAACATGTTTGTTACTGATGAATGGAATCATCGAATTCAAAAATTTTTATTAATGAAAGATTCTTTTGGTAAGTTGAAAAAAAGTTGAACAGAATGAAGAGATGTGAAAAGATAAATAACAGAAGTTAATAGAGATATTTCCATGTAAAAAACGAAAGAAAGCAAAAATGGTTGAGAAAGACTAATTAAACTAATGTATAAAAGAATATGTGTAAGGAAATGAAATGTTCAGATTAGACAAAGCCATGTGTCAGTCGTATAGGACAAACAATCTTCACCTTTTTGTTAAGATTAAAAAATATATTCTTTCGATATTTATCATAATATTGAATAGTTGAAGACAATCTATAATGTGATATATGTAATTGTTAATGAGAAATATGGGTGAATCCGTGGGTACCTACCACGGGTTTGGAAAAAGTTTTTTTTTCGATTTTGTTTTGACAGAAAGACCTAAGCGATCCAGAAAACGTTAATCACCGAAAAAAAACAAACTCTTTCCTTGAAACCCTGAAGTTCTAAGTCGTTTTCTCGGAACATGTATATATGTATTACATGTTGGAGCCATCATATCAGTAAATGACCTACTAAATATTCAAATAACCTCCAGATGGTTATACTATTAAATGCAGTTTTTCATGCTGCATCTAATGAGCATATTTGTAAACATCTTTAGTAAGTTAAAAATTTCGAAAAACAGTAGTTTTTTAAAAATGAATTATTTATCATGATATGATATTTATCATATTTTTTTGCATGTTTTTTCGATTTTCTTCCGCAAAAAAATGGCTTAGAAAAATTTTAAAATGTACAGTTTTGTAGAGCTCGACGAGTTCTATCAAACCATATATAAAACGCGAAAAAAAAAGTTTAGTCGATTTTTGCATTTGCTGCATCTTCATGTTTCAAAAAACGACTTAGAACTTGACCATTTCATTAGAAATAACACTTTTTTTTTGACGAACCACGTTGTCTATAGTGCTTCTATCTTTCTGACAGACAAAAAGTGATAAAAATCTTTGGTTTGAATATTTAGTAGGTCATTTACTGATATGATGGCTCGAACATGTGATACATATATACATGTTCCGAGGAACCGACTTAGATCTTCAGGATTTCAAAAAAAAAGTTTTTTTTTTCGGTGATTAACGTTTTCTGGATCGCTTAGGTCTTTCTGTCAAAAAAAATCGAAAAAAAAAACTTTTTCCAAACCCGTGGTAGGTACCCACGCATTCATCCATTTATATTTTCTTATTATTTCTATAATTATAAACAAAGAATATTTTGTATAAAAGAAAAAAGTTGTTTATCTGATAGAATAAATAATATCTATTGAGCTGATTTTGAATAGATACATTTATTTGTTTAGTCAAATTCATTATTTAAGATGATCAATAGGAAAACTTGATTTCCAATCAAATTTATTCGAGATTGCTCTTAAATGAAAATTTTACATAAGTCAATTGACAAAGTTTTGTTCACATTTCTAAGCTTTAATGAGAAAAAGTTTTTCTGATTGATACAAGATTTGTTAGCTGTACACATATTTGTTTGACTTTTTCTTGAAGATGTTTAGTTAATGACTGTTTTCGTTATAAGAGAGTTATAATTTATTCTTTTCAAATGAAAATAAAGCTTTTTTTGTTTTGTTTCTTATTTCATAGGGAAAATATTGAAATCCGTAAAGTACTATTAAGATTACAAAGGAAGATTTCTTTTATTTATATTGAATAAGGAGAAAATATTCTGATCTTTGATGAACCTTTAAAACTTCTTCAGATAAAAAATCTTCCAGCGAGAATGTGTATGAAGAATGTCTATAGAGAGACAACAAGAATGTGTGAAGATCATAAAAAATCGTATTTTTTGTCTCATTTTTCTCTTCTTTCTCATTCAGTATTAATATGACGTGTAGTGACATTATTTTTTATTTTTTAATGGAATTCATTAAGATAAATAAAGTTATATTTTTAATAGTATAGACAATTGAGATAACATAGGAACATTTATTGTTTTTCTTTGATTGCTTCTCTAAATTAACTTTGAATGTTTGTCGAAAACAAGTTAGAGAAAGTTTGAATAAATATTTTAATATTAAAATTCACTTGAGAAAGGCGAATGAAACGTTCAAAATTCCAAAGAAAGAAATTTGTTCGATAAAAATTTCTTCTTTTCTTTTGACTATTTTTCCTTAAATATATAATTTGTTTTATTCAACTACTTTCTTCGATGCAACTTATTCAGATTTTTCACAAGATTTTTCAACAAAAGTTAAACAAAGAAATTTTAATAATAGAATAGTTTGCATTTCATATCAAAATTAATTAAATCATTGGTAAAATCGATCTTGACAAACATTTTTAAATGTCTTTTTTATGAAAAGTTTCTTTAAAGTAACTTTATTTTTCTTCTACGAATATACAAATTAACAATTTTATTCCGTTTATAGTTCTTCTCTAATAGCCTTCTCTCTCTATTTTTCTTATATTTAGCTCTTTCATTCAATCAACCAAAGTTTTGTTCAACAGCCGCTTGGAATTCCAATGGAATTACCATTGCTAATGAGTCGATTGTTGGCCAATATCCTAACGCCATTTTTCTGAGCACAAACAACACAATTTATGTCGCTAATAAAGAAAAGAACACAATTGTAATATGGCAGGAAGGGAGTGTCAATCCAATAAAGATCATTACCGGTAATTTTACAAGACCCACTTCTCTCTTCGTGACATCGAATGGTGATATTTATATTGATGATGGACATGAGAATGGTCGAGTGCAAAAATGGAGTGCAGAACTAAATACCTTTGTTACGGTGATGAATGTCAACAAACCATGTTATGGTTTGTTTGTCGATATCAATGATACTCTTTACTGTTCACTGGCTAAGCATTATCAAGTAGTGAAAAGATCATTGAATGATGCTGCGATGGCTTCAAATCGTGTTGCTGCTGGAACAGGAATTCAAGGATCAAAGTTGGATGAACTTTCTATTCCTTTTGGAATCTTTGTCGATGTGAATTTGGATTTATATGTGGCAGACTGTGGAAACGATCGAGTTCAGTTGTTTCAATTGGGAGAATCAGATGGTATAGTAATGGCTGGACGTAAATCACTAAATCCAACAATTACACTTCGTTGTCCAACTGGAATTATACTAGATGCTGAGAAATATTTATTCATTGTGGATAATGACCATCATCGCATTGTTAGATCAGGCTTGAATGGTTTTCGATGTTTAGTTGGATGTTATGGACAAGGTTCACAGTCGAGTCAATTGCATAGTCCACATAGTTTTAGTTTCGATGGTTTTGGAAACATGTTTGTTACTGATCAAGGAAATGATCGAATTCAAAAGTTTAAATATTTAAAAAAGTTTTGTGGTAAGTTGGAGTATAATCGAATGAGATGAGAACATGCGAATGTTGATAATGAAAAGTTGTATAGTTTTCGTTAGAAAAAACCGAAGTCCAAAATTAAAAGAATAAAGCCGTACATGAAACTTTCCTAATCGAAAAAAAATAAAACTGTGTAATTGGAATAATTGATTAAATTAAGAATTTCAATTTTAAATTAAGTAAATTTATTTAAGATAAGAAATTTCAATTGACTATAGATATTCTTTTATTAACCGTTCTCACTGTCAGGATGTAAAGATAACTATCTGATCAACGTGAACAATATTATGTTTTATTTGATTGATTACGAAAAAGTCTTCGGTGAAATCTAATGATTTAGAAGTTTCTCTCTCTTACTTCTTCATCGATTAGATTTTCTTTAGAAATTTTAAGTTTCATGTAAGTCAAATATTGTGCTACGCAAGCCGATGAAAGAATTTGATTAGATTCTCTTCAACACTGTTAAATTTACACAATGTTTTATCTTTTAAAAATACCAAAAAACAAATAATACTACAGAAGCAATTCAAGTCATTGCACATGCTTTGCAGTTGAGAAACAGTGTTTTATTCCTTTGGGCGCAGATTATAAGCTCAATAGGTTAGGGACGTATATTTAAAGCGAATAAAAATCTCTATTCAAAAAGAGTTGCATCTTTGTGTACTCACGATAAACTTCAATTGATTTTATTGTTCATTTAGCCAATACTTCCTCGCTTTTTCAACAGATTTATTCATCATCATTGACTAAAATCAATCAAATTTATTACCGAGATTGTGACAAACAAAATTTTTATTATGAATCTATCCAAATGAAGGTGATCGAAACTGGTGACTACACTTTTCGTAGTAGTGGTAACATCGATTCATATGGATCTATTTACAAAATCAAATTTAATCCACTTGACCCAGCAGAGAATTTGCTTAAAACAGATGACGACAGCGGTTCTGATGCTCAATTCAAACTTGATATTCATCTTGATGTTGACAGGATATATGTGTTGGTTGTGACAACATTTGATTCAAAAGAAACTGGAGAATTTTCGATTGTTGTGTTGGGTAAAAACAAAGTTAATCTCGAAAGTCTTAGTAAGTATACAGATGTATATGCTATATATTAAATAATTCGTACAGAATATATAATATATCTTCTAAATTCAATTCCATCTTTTATTCTATACCTAGAAAATGTACTGAATTTATTCTATCTCATACTAAGGCATTTTCCAGCAGGAGATCTATTCGTACATTTTGTTACCACTATCTTAGTAGATTAATACTCTTAAGCTTCTACAAATACTGGATGTAAAATGTGCTAAAAAGAATAGTCGGTAAGATGTTTGAAAACATTTCAGCGTTAGATACTGAAAATCTAAAATTTATCTTGACATAGCTCAATACCTTTAGATTTCTGTGGAATACCAATTTCAGAATACTGAATTGGATGATGTAGTTTTGGTACATTTGCTAATATCCATTTGTAAAATTAAATATCCATCGAAAATCTCAAATATTTCGCTTTTGTTGATGCTAGATAATAGTATCGAAATTGCATGAATTATTTGACTTTTTTTATTGAACAGGCACTCAAGTAAATAGTCAATTACCATATTCATCAAAATTAACTGATGATAGTCCAACATATTATCGAGATTGTCAAGTACCACAATGTCATTATGAGACTTTACAAATTGATATCATTACAACGGGTTTGTATATTCTTTGGAGTGAAAATAATATTAATGCATATGGATATATCTACAAAAATGATTTCAATCCTTTAAAACCATCTGAAAATTTACTCCTATCACATGGTGGTGAATGTAATGATGGTGAGTTCAAGTTAATCATCGATCTCGAGATTAACGCTCTATACATATTGGTAGTGACAACACGCAATCCTAAAATCACTGGGAACTTCACTGTTTTTATCTCTGGACCAGACAATATCAGTCTTAGTCCTTTCAGTAAGTATTTATATGATTTTTTAGATAACAAATATATAATGACATAAAACACGAGAGAAAAAGATTTCTTCTACTGTTTTGATTAGTGAGCAATTGTTACTTTAGTTTTTGGAAAAAGATCTATCGAATATTGAATTAAATAGTTTTCAGAATCTTTGGGTCTATTGATCTGTGAGAAAAGACACTTGATTAGCATGAATTCTAGACAGATTTTTCATAATTTGATTGTTGCTACTTACAGACTTTTAAATCTTTATGTATATGGAGTTTTAGAAAACTCAAAATCTCGCAAAAGTAAAAGTTTCTTCCATAATTTCTCTATTTGTAGAAATCAGTAGTGACAGATGCAGATATTTCAATACATTGGAACACCTTTTCATTTGAGGAAGAAGTGAATTGTAGAAACTGAATATTTTAATTATCAAAATATATTCATTATTTTAGGTCCAAAAGAAAGTAGTTGTGTGATCGGTGACCAATGTAACTTTTATATCAAAGGGATTGGTTTGACACTCCATGATATTTTACATGACGAGCTTCAACCAAATACAGTGCTGAATAATCAATCATTTTCGATTAAATTTAGTGCGGGCTTAACGATAATTATGTTTCTCGCAGGATTAACCAATAGTGTTCTTTCTTTTATTACATTTCAAAGTAAAGATTGTCAGCAAGTTGGATGTGGAATATATCTATTGACATCATCGATTACTTCTCTTTTGACAATTAGTATGTTCATTACCAAGTTTTGGTTTGTTGTGCTTAGTCATATCAATGTGTCCACTAGTCTGTCTGTTCTTCGTGGAGGCTGTGCATCTATTGAACCAATTCTAAAACTTTTTCTCTACTTGGATGGTTGGCTTAATGCTTGTGTAGCAGTTGAACGAGCAATACTTATTTTTAAAGGAGTAAAATTTGATAAAAAAAAAAGCAAATCTATTGCTCGACGAATAATTCTTATTTTACCATTCTGTATTGTTGGTACACTTATTCACGAGCTTGCATTTCGCAGATTGTTCGAATATGAACCAGTACCCGATACGACAGATACGAGTAGGACTAATGAAGACACAATCAAGCGATATGTATCATGCATCACTCGTTATTCTTCTACTGTTCAAGATTACAATACAGCCGTCCTATTTTTTCATCTTGTTGGTCCATTTAGTATTAATCTTTTCTCTGCATTGTTCATCATCTTTGGAGGTGCTCGACAACGATCAATGGCACAAACTAACCAAAATTTTAAAGAACATGTTCAACAACGATTCCGTGAACATAAACAATTGATCATTAGTCCAATAGTTTTACTCATTTTATCAATACCTCGTCTCATTATTTCATTGCTTCCTGGCTGTGTGAAAACATCTGATAACTTGTGGTTGTATCTTGGACCATATTTCATTTCGTTCATTCCTTCGATGCTGATCTTTCTTATCTTTGTCGTTCCTTCGAAATTGTATATGAAAGCACTTAAACAATCGTTCATTCGTATTCGAAGGCGTACTCCTCCTTGATCAATCCGTTCAATTTCAATGATATGACTATTATAATAAATACAAAAGACATTATTTATTTGTTTGCTTCTCGTCATGAATTAATGTATACACTGTTGCATTGAAAAATCATATTCGAAAGAAGACATTCAATACTTGTAGCTTGCTGTGGATGATCATCAACTGAAATAATAACATGTTGAATGATTATGAATGGTGCAAACACAAAAAACGATTATTGTAGAGATAATAGAGACTCATGAGGAAATGTTGTTCAGTAATTGATGTGTTTATTAGGCTAAGTGATAAAGATTAGAAGAAACTATATGTCAACTTTCTACATACTATATTCTTTGCAACATTATTCACATTTCTTCTTGTCTGCCTGACTGTTGTATGCTTTTCATGTTGTTTTATTTTCTGTAATAGAATCAAGCAGAAGTGCTGATATATGCGAAAATAAAGAATTGGATATATATTCTATGAAACTTCAAATGAGTCTCCCGGACTTCCACTGAAGAAATGTTTTGATCTTTTAAAATATTTTATCTGATGGCATAATAACTTGAGGGTGTCGGCAAGCGTGAGAATGTTTTATTTATTACTTCAAACAGCGCTACTACCTTCATAGCTTGTGCCTTTTCCGATTGACTTCACTTGACAAACGTTCCGAATCATTCATTGTAAGCCGAAGATTTAAATGCTGTATAATTCTTTTTTTTGAGAAAAGAATAAAAAAAAAAGATTAAAATGATTTAATTAAGATAAATATGAATTTCAATGTCAAATTTTGCTTTAGTTAGGCACACACTCGCACATTGTTCGTATTTGTTGGATAAATATACTAGTGTTGATTGACAAGTAAATAAAAGAGTTCTAACGGATAAAATGCTATGATATGCAATGTTTTTTTTATTTTTAAAAGAGGTTTTGTGAAATATTTTGGTACATACAAAGCAAAAAAATAAATCGATTCTTCATCAACTTTAATGTTACATCAACAGGAGCGTGATAGAATTCACACATGAATATTTCAACGTTGATTAGGGTGGCATTACTTATTAATTATTTTATTTCGTTCTTCGAAAAATATTCTCTTCAATATAAAAAAAACAAATTTCATATTCGACATCAATGAGCATTGTCAACTTTTAATAAATAGATACATTCTAATTACTGATAATAATAAACTTGAACTAACTCAGCAAATGAATGCGGGTTTCAATCAAAGATTTCATATTTCAGTATTATTAAAAAAAAGGCAAAGAACTGCTTTTTTCTCTTCTATTCTCTCTCTCTCTCTTTGTTTTGTCATAATAGAACAATCAGACAGGAGCATACTTTCATATTATAGAATCTCTTGTGTCCAATGACTTAAAGAGAATACACTTACACACATGGACTTTTGAGATGCCACGGTAACTATAGAACTGAAAAAATCGAGTTAACAAGTATCCTGATGATAAAAACTTTGGTTGCACTGGAGCCTACCGACCCTGAATGTATAAAGAACAAACAAATAAATATCCTTCTTTATATCTTGGATCATCACTGTTTTATATTTATGATAATTTCGTTGAGAATTTATTTAATTTTATTTAAATAAAATCTTTTATTCTGTTTTAAAATATTAAAAAACTGAATATTGTCATCATATAATTAAACGTGACAAACGTACAACAAAAATAGAATAATATTATTTGTTTATGTTTACGATGATCACATTTTATAATAATGTGATTATAATATTTATTTTTACAAGTTAACATCAGTCATAGAATGACCGTTTTCATCATCGTTTAAGATCGAAAAATAAAATTTTGTAACAACGAAAGATTTAATTAAAACTAAATGTCGCATTATTTCAAAATTATTCAGAGTAGAGTTACATAAGATAGATGAAAAGAAATTATTCATATTCATGTATTAAATCATACGTAATATTTTCTCGAGAAAGGTTGTTTAGTATAAAAACAAAATAATATTTGCTAAACATATTCATGATGAAGATAATATCTATTGCGTATGATTACATGCTTCAGATATTTCTCTTACGTATTTAACATGCTGATATTTTCTTTTAGAATCATTTCATATTTGTGATTTTATTTCAAACATGTACGGTACTGGTAATAACGTAGGTAGCAATCTCGGAGAACAAATTACTGACAACTGGATCAATCAAAATGTTCCAGGAGGAGTTAACAGTAAGTTTTGTCTTTTACTTAAATGTAGAATTTCTCTTAATATTCTCTATTAGGTCCAATGGGTGAACAATTAGACAACATGATGGGTGGAAATCCTAATCCAACAATTGGTCAATATGTTGGTGGTGCTCCAGGTGTTGGAGGTACTCCACAATATGGTAGTACTCCACAGTATGGAGGGCAATATTATCGATAAAATATAAAAGTTGCCATTACGAATAATATAACATTTTTATACGTATTGTGGTAACTAAAATTACTAATTCTTTTCTCGTAAATAAAATCAGAAAAAATTATTTTTAATAAGAAGTATTCATAATAACGTGCACATTACGTAACTGGCTTTTTAATACTTTGTTCATTTTTTTAGCATATTATATCGCGAAAGAGAAAATAAGAAGTACACAGCACTTTCTATGATGGACGTACTAAAATTGTAATAAAAAAAGACATAAAATCCGAGCATCGTAACCAATGTACAATATGCGTCACGAAGTTCGATGTTAATAATATCAACAGCATGTGATCGTTCTTATTGATAGTTGTGATAAATGATCAGATATAACTCAACTTTTCATTATATTTTTCTTTTATACACAATATATCTATCACATTATAGAAAATATCGAAATTATTCATGCGTGAACAAAGAAAAATATGAATTAGAATAAAACCATGCGTACATATCAACAGTATTATTTGAAAGGTAGCCGGTGTATTATAATTATTAGATAGAAAATTATATTTCATGTTTGTTTTGACTATCGTAAAATCGTTATAAAATTCATGACGCACTATATGTATGTACCCTTAACTCAGTAAATGATGACTAATGTTATAGATATTCTAATATTCTTTGTCTCTCTGATGTAGAGAACGGAGCAAAATTTCTAATATACGAAGAAAAAATATCATCATTTTTTGTTTTCATTGTTGTTAATATCAAATTTCTCTCTACTTTTATACACAAAATTGTCTTTGTACAACATATTATGCAAACTTATCATATATATCTTTAGGAAGCTACAACTAGATATGATATTTTAGTACTTTAAAAGAATATCCGTTAAACTTGACGTACAATCCAGACTAGAAAGCTTGTTGAGTTAAATGATATTCTATGTAACATATTCCATATTATTAAAAAAGTGTGGATATGAATAACAAAAAAAGAAAAATATCCACTTACATGTACAATCTTCAAACACAAAGTCGTTGAGTAATATGAGACAAAATTCGAACTGAGATAGCCACAAACATCTCTTTTCATCATTTTTACTACGTTATTTTATATACATTTATATCTTTATGATCACCTACTAAAAGTACTGAACTCTGTCTCTGAATGTTTCACTATTCGGTATACTCTTCAACCTCATTTTAAAAAAGATCTTTAATTAATAGAAACTATGAGTATGATTAGAAGATGAGAAGTTCTCTTGAAAAAATCTTCGCAAAGAAAAAACAAGGTCATATGACGAAGAATACTCATAAAAAGAGCCTTAAGTGGATATACCTTCATCAGAACAACTTTTGCTTTATGTAAATTTATTTAAACATAAAAACAGCGCAAGATAAAAAAAGGCATATAAACAGGTGGTCAACAATACACGTGTACACTAAATAAAAATGAAAATCTTTTGATAATATTGTGTATAATTGAATAATCATATTATATAAATGTTTATCTTATGAATTTATGAATCATCTAATGTTCATAATAGTCGTGTAATAATAGTTTTTATTTGATATTTTATGTCAGACAAGCAGGATGGACATTGTTCATAAATAGCTAATGCTCGTTCATAATAATCAAGTGTCATTTTTAGTTGATTAAGATGTTCGTAGCATTCGGCGATGTTAGAGAAACTTTGCCCAATATTTTCATCATCTGGTGATACAACTCTTTCATGTACCAAATAACATTTGATTTCATATTCGAGAACTAATTCATACTTATGTCGATTTCGTTGTACTTGAACAAAATTGGAAAGCGTAGTAACAATAAATAAATGATTAAACATTGTTCAAAATACTCAATTTCATGATTATAAAATCGTTTTACGCATCAAATTACTTCAATCCATTCTAGAATATGTGTGATTTTAGAATAAATGGTTGAATTGAATTTTTTAAGTAATATTACTACTTGAGAATAATAATCAAGAGCTTCATCGTATATATTTATTTTGCTGACATAACGTATTTTCAATATAGCTGAGGATGTTAACAACTTGAGCATAATATGATGAGTAATATTTCTCAAGTGTAACAAGAGCTTATTGTTGATAATAAAGAGCTTCTTTATAATTTTTTTCCTATTTATTTGTACATCACCAATATTATTCAACGTAGAAACAATAATTAAATGAGTAAATGAATAGTATTTCATTAGTATCGATAATGCCTGATGATACAGTTCTAAATATTCATCGTATATTCCTTGTCTATTTCTAATATTTGATATATGAATCAATATCTTAACAATATTGACATGATTATATGAATGTAATTTCTTGAGGATTATCAATACTCTTTAATAAATATATAGAGATTTCTCATATTTTTCTTAATGAATAAGAAGGCAACCATTGATATGGAGAGCAGAACCATTGTATAAACGATTTCTTTGATAACAGTTGTTGAAGATCAACATTGCTCGTCCGTGATGATCAAGTGGTTTATAATATTTTTCTTGCTGATGTAGAATCTCACCAATGTTGTTTAGACTAGAGAGTGTGGTTGTGAATATTACACTAACCTTACTCCGATACATCCACTCGCATCCACACCCTCAAGGAAATAAAAGATCTTTTGCACTCGTGTTTCCTTGAGAATGAACGAATATATTTTATTTAAAAATAATATTTCATACCATTTCCACAGATTTTTGGTGACAACTTTGAAAGTGGAGTTATAATTATCAGGAAATCGTTAATACTAGGGCAACATGACATTCGACATACAGTACGCATAGAAAGAAAATTGATGGGTTTTAAAATACCTTTCGGACATCAACATATTATTCAAAAGACGATTTATTCTCCTGCATAGTATATGTAGCATCAGAAGCTGTTGAAATGCTAACTTGAATAGTATCAGTCAAAATTTTATCAAATTTCAACAAATAAAAGCTTCTATGTAAGAAATAAAGTCAGAATAGATATCTGTTTATTTTCTATCCCTTTATAAATACTTAGATAACAATAAAATATCAAACAGAGTATCATGATAGCGTATGAGCAATGATAGAATTTTCACCAGTAAGAAAATAACTCTTCTAATTGACTTAAATTTTTTGATGCAACATACGATAATTTATTTTATGATTTATTCCTATAAAGCTCTTCCAGCAAGTCTATTGTTCGACCTGATATTAGTATTATTAAGAAAAATGTAACACTTGTCACTGCAGTAATCCGGTGATTATTTGTTCCTTTTCTAGATTGTTCTTCAATATCTGATCTATAAGAGCTTTTTAAATTGTAGTTAATCCTTTCATTTCGAATATTTCATATTCATTTGAAAATTCATTTTAATTGCAGACTATATAAGAATTAGACAATATATTTAGGATTTAACTAGTTTAATTAACGTCATAAATCTACAAAATTGGTTAACCTATGTTCTATAAACAAGAAAAGAAAACTGACGATTTCTTCTTTGCTTTTACATCTTTTCATATATATATTATTCCGGAATATCTTGTGTGATTGTGAGATGAGTACTCTTAATCATTTAAACCCCTTCCATAAAAAAGACCCTCTCGTAATAAAAGACCCTCCCATGATAGAAGACCCTCTCGCAAAAATAACGTGAAATCCATAATAGAAGACCCGGGTCTTCAAATTAAAAAATAGTTTTTAAGTTGTTATTTTTTTTCATTAAATTGTCCATATTATTGTGTGTTGTGCAACGAAAGATACAAAAGAATTGAAAATATAGTAATAGCTCGTTTATGCACATCTACAAAATGTTTTCTTCACGTGAAGATAGACACAAATCGACTAAAATTGAAATAAGAGGACAATCAGAACGAAGATGCAGAAAATTATATGCGAATACACCGGTCCAATTTAACATCGGGAGCAACAAAAAATTAAAACAACTCGATTTGCATCCATTTGTGAACAAAAAATATTTGCAGTTATTGTTTGTTTTTTTCTTTTCTTATCAGAGTCGGAGTTAAAAAGGGCTGAGTTATAACTTGAGTTACAACTTTTGAGCTATAAATAATCAACTTTTCGGTCCAAAAGCTATTTTGGTTATAACTTTAAACTGGTTATAACATTTAACCGTGGCTAATGTAAGTTATTATTTCAAATCTGACAACTGGGTAGAATTTCTATCTCTTTAATATTAGTGAGTAAATGAACCGAAGCCGTATTTTACAATATAGTTCATACCATTTTATCATTACCTTTTAAAAAATTGGTATTATCTCCTGAAATAAAGTTCAATTTTTAATTAAGAACTATCTGTCAAACAGTGGCTTCAGTTCAGTTACTCATTAAGGATAAAGAGAGAGAAATTCTATCTAATTAACAGAATTGTGATAATAACTTATATTAACCACGGTTAAATGTTATAACTAAGGTTGAAAGTTATAACTACGGCTGTAATCATTTTAACTTTTCAAAATTCCATTTTAACTCTCACTCTTATTTTAATTTCATATTTATTAAATAATATAATCATGACGAACGATATTACCTGAAACTTCACAAAATATTATATTGATTTTGGGCAGTTTACGCGCACAAATTCGTATTATAAGACCACCCCATAATAGAAGACCCCTTTATAAGATTGATCCGCAAAATATAATACTAGACCAGGGGGTCTTTTATTACAGAGGGTTTATTTCATTGAAATATTATTTTAATTGCATTATAGTTAACTTGCTATTGTAAGTTTTGACTTATTTAAAAATAGGAACCAAACCGAAAATAATCTTCTTTTAGATTTGTTATATAATTAGATTAAAATTTAAACAAACAGTTGTTAAATATTTTTATATAATAATATTAGTATGTTTATTAATTATACCAAATTATTTAATAGGATGTATTATATTAGTATTAGCACATGTTGTTCTATTGAAACAGTTTATTAGATAACTTCAGTAACGAGAACAAGTTTAGAAAAGATATCATTTGGAATAATGGCAATATTATTTTTAAACATCTTTCCTCTTATTATTCTAGTAATATTTACCATACTATTAATATTAAATATTTGATATCATTATTCATCAATAAATTCTTCATCAAATTGTAAACATGAAAAGCAAACAACAACACAATGTTTATTTTAATAAAATTCTGTACTATATTTGTTGAACTTCTGCAAGGTTCTTTACTGGTTACAATTGATATTGATAAAAAAATTTACTTTATATTTACTATTAGGAGATTTTTGAGATTTATAATCAATTTTTTAATAATTCAGAAACAAACTAACAGTTCAAGAAAGCTTTAAATTTTTCTGAAAAACTTCATTTCTGTTTTTCATTTTATAAAATGTCTGAAAGATTAATTTGAAGAAAGAAATCTTTTGTCTTGCTTTAAATTATTTATCATTGCAATAAACTAGAGATGATATGTAAATATTTGAATTATTATTTTAATGAAATTAGTTTTTATTCTAACTTTTTTTGAGCATATTTCAAGTTTTACACTGATAGTCATTCTATTTGCATGTAGAATTTTTTCTATGAATTATAAAAATAAATGAAAATGAACTTGATCTCTGATAAGAACATTCGTATTCTTGTCTTATTCGTGTGCTACTTGATTTAAACTTTTTTTTATTTTTCATTAGATAACTTATCATAAGTTTCAATTTAAGAAAATTTGTTTTTGAATGAAGAAGATTATGTTATAATATTATATAAATTATTTGATTCTGACAAATTATGTGAACTCATCAAAAGATTTCAGTCTTTTTTATCGAGAATATCGATATAGAGATTGAAGAAAATCTACAACCACACCCATATCCACTCGCATCCATAAAAACAGTGAATCCCGCTCATCTTTTCAGTTGGCGACTCCACTCGAAAATTGCACCACGCAATGCAGAATTTTATTCTGCATCCATCACAACTACTTTTAGATGAACCATAAGTCGAAAAGTGAATGTCAGGAGGAAATACTCGAATCTACTGATAATTTTCACTACGTAATTGTACAGAAATTAGCGTATTTTCTATTCTGTTTCGTTAGCATACATATTTATATAGACATAAGATAAGTTCGATGTCAGTATTTTGCTCAATCTATTTACATTCACATCCTCATTTCTTCTTACGTCTGATATCATTATATATTACCCTTTAGATTATCTTTCAGGGTTATGATTTACAGACATATTCATCTCTATCAATGATGAACTTACCTCATACTCTTTTGTAAGCGAAGTGTGCCACTGATCATACATTCTACATCTCATGAATACTATCCAAATAGATAAATATTATGAAAAACGACACTATAAAACTAAGAGAACATTTGAAAGGATAATTGAAGTTATCCTATCATTTGTAACTTTTGTTGATCCTAATGAACTAATCTACAAGAGTAGAAAAACACACATTTTATTTATTAGGAATCGAATATTATAATAAATGATAATTCAGTAAAAATATGGGAGGAAATAGTTCGCGTCCGTGATAAAATGAGAATTTTTCTAACTAAAGTATTGTTTAGATTCGGAACCACTTGTAAGAAAAAGAATAAAATAACTGAAAGTTAATTTGTTTGAAATAATTAATATAACTCCGCACTATTTAAAGCAGTAATACCATTAACAACACTTCCACCACCAGTAACTAATACTTTTCCATTTGATAATACAGATGCTGTGTGCTCATGTCGTGCATCAGTCATATTACTAATACTTGTCCAAGTACTAGTTGATGGATCATAGAGTTCAGCACTATTTAAAACACCGCTATTATCAAGTCCACCAGTAACCAATACTTTTCCAGTTGATAACACAGACGCTGTGTGCCATGGTCGTATACTATTCATGTTGCTAGTAGTTGTCCATGTACCTGTTGATAGATCATATAATTCAGCACTATTTAAATAACCAGTATTACCAGCTCCACCAGTAACTAATACATTTCCATTTGATAAAACAGATGCTGTGTGAACTTCTCGTGCATTATTCATGTTACCAGTAGTTGTCCAAGTACCTGTTGATGGATCATACAACTCAGCACTACTTAAATAACCAATACTATTATCGTATCCACCAGCAACTAATACTTTTCCATTTGATAACACAGATGCTGTATGTCGATATTGTGCATTAGTCATGCTACTAGTAGCTGTCCAAGTACCTGTTGATGGATCATACAGCTCAACACTATTTAAAGTACCAATAATATTAATTCCACCAGTAAATAATACTTTTCCATTTGATAATATAGATGCTGTATGCCAATCTCGTGCATCATTCATGTTACTAGTAGTTGTCCAAATACCTGTTGATAGATCATACAGTTCAGCACTATTAATAGCAATACTACCATTCCATCCACCAGTAACTAATACTTGTCCATTTGATAATACAGATGCTGTGTGATCAGATCGTGCATTAGTCATGTCACGAGTAGTTGTCCAAATACCTGTTGATGGATCATACAACTCAGCACTATACAGAATATTATTACTACCATTACATTCACCAGTAACTAATACTTTTCCATTTGGCAATACAGATGCTGTATGAGAATATCGTGCATCATTCATATTGCCAGTAGAAAACCATCCTAGAAGTTACATTCTTATATATTTAGACTATACCACATTAGATAATCAAACAATCATTATTCGTTATTCTTCTACACAATATTTTTCATTTTTCTAAAAACGATAGTCTTTTATATGTCTGTTTTATATCACTTTGAACTTATATAGATCGAGAATAATAGTCAAATATATTACACAAATCCTCTTCACATATCAGTAATACATATTCAGTTTCTTATATTTTCTATTTCCTCTGTTATCTCAATCATATATAATATATAAAATGTTTGTCTCAAACTTGCCACTATGATAACTACACTGACAAATGTGTTTTTCGATTCTCTACAAATTTTACAAGCTATGTTTGAAAGATATTTAACAGAATGAAATTTATGAACTTTGCGTTAACTCTTCCATAGTTCTCTGGATCCCACAATCAAAACAATGACGATCAATATTATTGCTTAAATCATATCTAACATAACTATAAATTAATATTACTAAGACAACAACAATAATAGAAAAAGCAGAGATAAGTACGAATATGAATTAATCAAGCAAAACATCAATTTTACTTGAGATGATCTATCATACCGATTTCTATACTTCGATCTATTCATTTATATTATTTTGTTATTTAATGTAACAAATGTAAACATAAAAATCTGTTCTACAAAATATTTCATCTCAAACACAAAAAACAAACAATATTGATTTATTATGAAACTATGATCCCTTATTCTACCAACTAAATCATATATGAACTTATAAAATTATGTCATTTAATAACTAAACTGAAAACTTCAGCATAGTTCAGTTCTTCATCTTTTTTTCATTTCCCTTGTTAATTAACAATGGATATCAGACAGGTATATGATTCTATCTATTACTTTTGTTTCCACTATAACAAACGTATCAACCGACAGAAGTTGTTATATGAATGAATGATGCTTTAGCTGTAGCTATGACTAAAATGAATTGTTCTAATCGATTTTGATGGAGTCTTAAATGTAAATAATATATATTAATACCTGTTTTACACATGTATGTTGCTGAGAATGGTAAACATACTGCTTGTGATGAACAACATGAATTAATAATACATATCGAATTATTTGATGAACATGTTTGTGTAATATTATCACATTTTTCTAATATTGAACATAAAATACCAGGTGCACAATAACCAATATTATTTATTGTTCGATAATCAAAACAAGGCGTTGATGATGAAAGACAATTATTGTTACCATTCAAGCTTGTATTACATTGTTGTAAAGAACAATTTGATGATGAATTCCAAGCTGAATGAGATGATGAAGATAATATAAATTGAATAGAAACATTATTTTCACTACAAGAATAATTAGGTAGTTGTGTAGTTTGTCCTAAAGAATTCATTTATATTGTGATAGAATCAGATGAAAAAAGAGAATGCAACAAACCTTTTACAGATAAAAAAGATATAATGAAAATCAAGACAACGATAGGCTGCATTGTTTCTTGTGTGATCAATGAAACAATAAAGTATGCACAACAACGAATGATTTTTCTTTACTCTTTTTTTCCTTTACTACCTATATTTTTCTTTTATTTGAAAGAGCATAAAACTGTTTCTCTCACCATTTGTCGGTGTCCTTGGAATCAAAAATGTAATGCTTTTATTTTGAGTTGTTTATTAATTTAAATGTATTGAAAGGTTTATTTTGTAAACTTTTTTTATAGAAAAACATTTTCTACGCCTATATAATTTTCGTTCTCATTCAATACTCTTTTCTTTTTTTCGTTCATCGCATCTAAAATCATAACATTTCTTCGATCGAAGTTTAAAACATTATCAGGTATGTGATTTTGTTTTAATTGAGGGTGGGTGTGGGTGTGGGTGGTTGTGAACTTTTCTTCACTTAAACAACACCCACTACCTCGTTCAAATGATTGCTTTGATGTCTGTGACGTCCATTGAACACACAAAATAAATTGCGTATATATCGAAAAACTCTGTGGATTCATGTATGCTTTCGTAAATCTTAGATCATTTTTGGTGACATCGATCAATGAACGATATTTAGAATAAAAAACAGTCGAATCATTGCTACTACGTATTCTTGAGAGAACATGAAAAATACAGGAAACAAGCTATTTACATTCATATGAATATGTGTCCTGAGAGATTAGAAGAGAAGAATGCACATATCGTTTGTTTCAGTAGGCCCCTCTTGGGAAATAGATAAATAAAAAATATAGTGTTATATTTTCTTTTTGCAAATTATAAGAGAAAGAAACGATTATTGAATATTTCTACGTAAACAATGTAATTTATTCATCTAACAACTAGGTTGTGGGTGTGGGTATTGGTGTTATCTCACACCCACACCCTCAAAATTTCAAATTAATATCTTCAAGGCGTTGTACGTGGTAGGTGCTGATGCAGGTTATGCACTTGTTCAAATGCATACGCAAGTTCGATGAGACATTTTTCACTATAGGGCAAACCTAGAAAGGACATACCCACAGGTAGATCGCCTGTAGCAATACCCGCTGGTACAGTAATCTGTGGAAAGCCCATCGCGCCAGCAATATACTTCGGTATATCAGGATCGTCAATATGACATACATAGGTCGGATCTGGCTGCTGATCGAACCGAGACGAAGCCGGACAGCAGATGGTGGGCATTATCAATGCAGTCAATTGTTGCGACTTAATAATAGATTCTAAATCTGTTCGTAGCTGTGGAATGACAATCGATAAAATGCGTGTATACTTTAGTGAATTGAATAATGGAGTCGTTAGGTTAGTTTTAAGCATGGTTAAACGTTCAGGATTAATCGGTTGCGATTCGTTGCGTTGAATGAACTCAGCCAGAGTATGAGGTTGTTTCGGACCCAAAGTCGATTGATAACGTTCGAATTGATCCTTGAACTCTGCCTCCAACACAGGCTCTAGAACTTCTTGCCATAGATGCTCATAAATCTGTGGTAATTGTATTGGGATCATTTGTGCCCCATTAGTTTTTAAACATTCTACACTTTCGTCATGAACCCGGTCAACATCTGGATTTCCTCCACGAAAATTAAGTACTACACCGATACGCGCACCTTGTAATGCTTTAACATCTAGATGCGCAGTATACGACACAATATGGTCTGGTTGATTTTGTGTTGCCGCATCGGATGTATCCTTGCCGACTAATGCATCAAGAACAAGCGCTGCGTCTCTCACATTAAATGCCATCGGACCAGTCGTATCGAAGCTCAAGGACAATGGAATCACACCGGTACGACTAGTAAGCCCCAAAGTGGGCCGTATACCCACCAAACCAGTTACACTTGCTGGCGAAAGGATTGAACCACAGGTATCCGTTCCCAATGCAAATGGAGAAAAACGTGCGGCCACAGCAGCAGCAGAACCGCCACTCGAACCTGACACATTTCGTTTCAAATTATAAGGATTTAACGTCAGACCGCCTGCTGAGCTATATCCAGAACGTCCGTAGGATAATCCAAGTTCGGACATGTTGGCTTTTCCCAACAGAATTGCACCTCTATCTAACAGTTTCTGTATAACAAAAGCGTTCACCTGTGGAACCGAATCGTTTAGAATGATCGAACCACCAGTGGTAACAAGTCCAGCTGTATCATAGTTATCTTTTACGACGAAAGGAATCCCATATAATGGATTATCTTGAAAAGAAGCCGTGTGCCGTTGTGCATCACGTTCCCGTGCCTGTGCTATACAATCAGGATTGACAGTGATGAGTGCATTAATATATGGACCAGCTTTATCATACAGTTCGATCCGTGCTAGACAGACTTCGACTAAGATCTCTGAGTTCAAGTTGCCATTATTCAGGGCCTCATTCAACGATTGGATAGTGGCACTCAACAGATCGAAAGTGGTCAACGGTGTTGTGCACATTGATGAAGTCGATTTTATTACTTTCTTTTCAGGCTGTCGTGTTTTATGTGTTAAAGAAAACAAGACGTCAGCTGCTTATCTTTTGCGCGCAACCAAACACGAAAATAGCGATAAGATGTCATTTTTCACCATTCATTGTCGTATTCTGACGCTCTGCTTGCTACCTGTACTAATATCAAGATGTATTTTCAGTGAATTTTGAACCCCAAACTCGTCAGAATCCAGCTAATATATATAAGATTTTCAAGTTAGGAATATACGGTTCTCCAAATCTTTTCATAGGCCACAGTATGTCTGATTCTATATTTCATTTTGATTAACCAGAGAATTACAAAATATCATTTTGAGGGTGTGGGTGTCAGCTTTTATAACATTACACACCCACCAAAATGGATATATGCAAGATCATAATTTTACGACGTAGTAAATTTGGGGCGTTTGTATTCTCAATCCGGTTCGCATAGTTCTGGTTGTAACTGAAAGCTGTTGTCTAAACATACTGGTATATAAGTGAGATATAAAAAATAACCAGTTATAGGAAAGTTTTAGACGTGATTTAGAACATGCTTCTGGATGGATATTGTCTAATTGTAAATGTTGATTAGAATTGAATATTTAATGATAGCTTGATTTCTCTTTGCAACATTTATATGAAAGTCACATTCTACTAACAAAATGATGAACATGACAATTTCTATCGAACGTGCTTGTGTTGTTAGTAAGATATCCACTAACATTCAATACTAAAACCTGACATTATCTCAGTTTTCTCAATATTTTATTACTATCGACAAAACTTTAACTATCTATCTCATTACATCAAAGTAAACGATTAGATCAGTCATTATTTTTATCATGACTATTCTAGTCGCAATTTTAACATCATTTTTGGCATCAACTAACGCCCAGTTCAATCTGTATCATACGAATTGGATAGGGAAAAGCGCTTTGTATCATGACTGTTTGCAGTACAGGGCGATTATGGTGGCTGAAATCGATGAGCGAGAGAACAAGTTTCCAAATCCTTATCAAATTATTTCATATTGTTTACGTCCACTTGTCGAGGGAGAATGGCAAGATCCGACTATCATACAAAATAATATAATATCGACTTCGACATTCGATGAGTTGAAAATGCAGAACATAAGTGGACAGGATTTACTTTCATGGTCTGCTCCAGTTGATCTTGTCGAAAGCTATGAAAGTTATCTACTTGGCTCAAAGACAATTGCAGCGTCCGAAAGATTTTATAATTGCACGTCATTGTGGTTTGGAACGCACTGTCAATTTACATTCAACTCAAGCCAATTATTTAGTGATATTGTAGAAGATACTTTCATTGCAAAAGATATAGACAAGGGTCAAATATCGAGCCTTGTTATCACTAATCTGACTTGTTATGTACACCTGAAATGCAATCGTGGGCCATCGCCAATGTGTCTTGATTGGCGCGAAGTATGTGATGGGAGGACTGATTGTTTAGGTGATGGTGCTGACGAAATGCATTGTTTGGAGCTAGAGGTGAATGAATGTGAAGAAGGCGAGTATCGATGTCACAACGGAATGTGTGTACCTGAAGAATTTGTCAATGATCATCCCTTCAATCCGGATTGTTTGGATCAAACCGACGAAAACGGTTTCGACTATTTAAAACTCAAACGAGTTTTTGGATTTTATAACTGTTATCAAAATCCAACATTTCAATGTGAAGAGTCGGATCATTTTTTCGGCGTACGAGGTTTTGTATGTGGTGATGGACAACATATTAAGATGCGAGCAGCATCCTCTGTAGACTTTGAGACATCTGAATATTTATACTGTAAAAATAGTCGTGATGTGATTATGTATGAATCGATATTATCGGATCGACATCGCTTTCCTTATTTGACAACTGAATGCTTAACAGTAGTGAGATGTCTCATGTTTGATAAAGACGGAACTCATTGTTTAGAACATATATGTACAAGCGAAATCCGCCCCTGCTCTCTTTCGCTTCATAAAGTTTGCAATCATTCAAACTATGTAGTCTTTCCTGTATTGCCTTTTCTTCATGATTATGCAGAGTTTGGATTTTGGACGAACACAACGATTACTTATGATTCTTCCGGTAAAATCCCACTTCCTGACTTTCTATGTTATAATGAGAAACGTTGTCCTTTTTTCTCACCACGATTCCAAATCAACAATATGACGTGTTTGCACTTGAAAGATATTGGCGCAGCAAATTTTAATTATCTCATTAAAATATTTCATGCATGTTTGTTAGTCGATACAAGTGGCAACAAAACTGATTGTATCCATCCATCTTTATTTCATTGTCCCAAAACAACTAAATGCATCTCAAAGTACCGACTACTTGATGGAGTGATAGATTGTTATGATGCCGCAGATGAATTATATGCAGATTCATGTAAGCTAAATGACAAATACCGTTTTCGATGTCTATCCGAAAACAAATGTATTGCACCTGTGCTGATGCATGACACGAATAATCATTGTACTGGAGGTGAAGATGAAAGGTTCAACTCTAGACAAAAATTTTCTTTCCAAAATCTCTGCAATGGATATTTACAATTAACATCAGAAATCATTGACGAACAAAAAGAGACAGATGAAACGAATTGTGAACAGTGGCCATGTAATAATCAATATACGCGATGTAACGGTGCGTGGGAATGTTCCAATGGTGCAGATGAAGTTGACTGTAACCGGGAGTCACCATGTTACCCTGGTCATCATCCATGTGTCTCACCTATCAGTTTTCAAGTGATGTGTTTACCAATCGAACAGGCTGGAGATGGAAGCATAGACTGTCTTGGATCAACTGACGAAAGAGAATACTGTCGTTACCGGCAGACAGAAGAGTCTTTGGTACGCTACCGATGCTGGAATAGCACAAGATGTACATCTGGAGGATGCCTTGGTTCTTTATTTTGTCCGTTCGAAGAAAGTCACTCTATCTATGATATGTGTAACAACGATAAAAACATGGAAAATACCCTAAATAGCCTCATATTAGACAGCTTTATGGGAAATAGCAAGATTCAAAAAGATGCACATTTTATTTTAGGTGATATGAGCCGTTTTCAATCGAATGTGTTAAATGTAGATTTGACAGTAACCGACTATTCTATCCTCACTCGCACTGAGCATATATCTACTATACACACTACTTTTTCATTCGAAATACTACCCAGAGAGATAGATTTCCGTCAGGCATGGATCTGCAATCGGGGCATTCTAATCTTTCACGGGCAAGAAGGAACTGAACTTTGTCTTTGTCCTCCAAGCTATTATGGAGATCGATGTCAGTTTCAGAACCAACGAGTTAGTTTAACTCTGCAATTTAACAAAGAATGTGCTCCGATTTGTCGTGGAGTATATGGTATAATTGTGATGCTTATCGATGATGCCAACATGATTCATTCTCACGAACAGTTTACGTACACTTCTACAAGCAATTGTGATATAAAATACAACATATATTTGTTATTTCAATCTCAACTGAAGAATTTGACGAAAAACTACACTATTCGTATTGATGCTTACAACAAGATTGATCTCCTTTATTATACAAGCTGGACATTGCCAGTTAAATTTCTCTTTCTTCCTGTCAATCGTATTGCTGCTTATTTGATTATACCATCTCATCCAGTCAATAGTGAAGATAACTGCGGAGTGACGTGCAATAATCACGGTCGTTGTGTCAAGTACTGGAATACAAAGGAAGATTTTTGTCTCTGTGATTCAGGGTGGTCAGGAACTAATTGTTCTACTCGACTTAATACGTGTGATTGCTCATCAGATGCAATATGTCTTGGTCGAACTAACAATCGGTCAATTTGTTTGTGTTCTCAAGCAAAGTCTGGGCCACGCTGTTTTCTTTCCTCTGCTTGTCGTAACAGTCCTTGCAAAAATGGTGGCCAGTGTGTAGCAGAGAACGAACAGATATCAACTAGTACCTTTACATGTATTTGTACTGCCGGCTATTCTGGCCCAATGTGCGACATAAATGATACTCGTATAGATATTTCATTCCACGGTGTAGACATTCCTCGATCTCTCCTAATTCATTTCATTACTGTGCAGCATAATGACCATCCTTTGACAACTACAATATCGAAGAAGATCCCTTTTGATGATGACAGTACAACACTATATATTTCAACGCCATTCAACCTAATTTTCGTTCAAGTTATCAACGAATACTTTCTCGCCTTTCTGCAAACGAATACTTCATCTTTGACTCGCATCCCACTTGAGATGAATTCCTTTCATCATTGCCCTCCCATTCATCGTGTACTCGATGAACGAACACTTGCCTTTCACATATTACGTCGAGCAAAATTCTATCATAATATATGCAAACAACATTCTGACTTGAGCTGTTTCTACGACAAAGAAGCATTTATGTGTTTATGTAACAATGATAATTTTACGAACTGCTTTCCTTTTGATTTCAATAAGACTTCTATTTGCCAAGGACGGACTACATGTCGAAATGATGGCCAATGTTTTCAGGATCGTGCAACTTGTCCATCCTCAACCATGTGCATCTGTACTGAATGTTTCTATGGTGGAAAATGCCAGTTGACTACAAAAGGTTTTAGTTTATCACTCGATGTTATTCTTGGATATCATATTCGTTCACATCTGTCGATTATTCAGCAGCCACCTCCAGTGAAAGTAAGCGTTATAATAGCGACACTAATGCTTTTGGTAGGTCTGGTTAACGGATTCTTATCTATCATAACATTTCAATCAAAAAAGCTTCGTCAAACTGGTTGTGGATTTTACCTTTTGGCATCATCACTAATATCATTTTTCTGTTCTATTATCTTCACTTTGAAATTCTGGTTTTTGCTTCTCTCACATATATCGTGGACCGAAAGTCGCATTTTTCTCCTCACACATTGCATTTTAATGGATTTCATTCTTCAATCTCTTCTTACTGCTAGTAATTGGCTGAATGCCTGTGTTGCTATAGAGAGGGTTTTTAT